TCTTGTTGAAAGCTAGGAAATGTTTGCAGCAGAATGGACGACATATTGAGCAGTTTAGGTTTTGATTATTTTCTTTCTAATCATATAAATATGTTATTGAATATTTTTATTTTTTGCCATATATTCGTAGTCGTTTGAAAAAATCAATCAAACTCCACATTGTTGAATTTGTAATAATGAACTGTACTTGAATATGGAGTAATATACTAGGTGTCCCTCTTCAAAAAAGAGAGTTGGGGTGCACTTCGGTGTGACCTTGTATACCTACGATTTATTCGATAGCATATTTCGAGTGAGCATCATCAAATATACTGGGTGACCAAATTCCAAGTCATTCGATCGCGCGGTTGATTTTTAACAGGGGGGACATTTTAGCTGGGACACGGTGTATATTATCGTTTGTCGAGTTACTCACATTTACATGGATTTTCATCAAGTAAAAGCCGAAATGGAAAATAAATCGTTTTTATTACCTTCTCCATATCGAAGATCTATCAAGCTAGAGATGATTCCGATAATCAAGAATAATCCAAAAATCGCTCTATATAGAAAAAGTTATGTATTCAAATAAGATACTTTATGATAAAAATAAGATAAAAACTTACAGAGATGCATACTGTGCAGTTCCCATTTCTGGTTCATCCAAAACTGAGTTGCATAAATGTTCATCCAAATCTACTTCAATTTCCAAACCTGCCCCAATATCTCTTATCGTTTTATTGAAATGTCTCAAAATATCATCTCGTGGACAAGAATGGGGTACACAGACGGACCAACCAATTTCGGTCATTTCTATTGTCTCATAAACTTTCTTGAATTTCTGAGAGTAATGATTTATTTATGAAGTAGGTATCACAATATACACTGTGGCCAAGATAAGGTTGCATAGCATGGGGTTCTCGAAAAAAAGGTAATTTTTGAAAACAGGGTTAATTTTTGTCACGTTATTTCTGGCGATGTGAAAAACCGAGAATACTTTTCTAGGGCAACAACTGATGAGATTTAATGTGTTGATATTGATTCAGATCTCTAGGCGAAGTTACGTAATTGTAGAACCATCATCAACTTTTTTTTTTCAATACGATCTTGATTATGTGTTCACATATTCTGAATGCTTTTATCATTATATTCAAGTCGGTAACGATACAAACATGTATTATACAAAATAAGTCAGCTGACAGATGGTCACAATGGTGGTTACTTCACATATATATTTAATGAATTAGATATCAATTATTTTGGTTGCCGATAAAATAACATATTTCCTACGACCACCTATGAAAACAGCACAAAACACATTGATTTGTTATTGAGAAAGTGACTCGTTTCACTATGACAACATAATATAACAGTTAGAAAGTTCGAAAGTAAAACTCACATGGGTGGAAATATTCGAAAATCGCACAGTAGCAAGGTCTATAGATTATGATGTACCAATGAATGATTATTATGCTGAATTATGGTAAGTTAAGTTATGGTCAAGTTAATGGAAAGTTGGTGTCGATTTGACATGAGCTATTGTCGTTAATGTTGATGATGTACCAATGAATGATTATTATGCTGAATTATGGTAAGTTAAGTTATGGTCAAGTTAATGGAAAGTTGGTGTCGATTTGACATGAGCTATTGTCGTTAATGTTGACGTAATGTTAAGTTGATGAAAAGTTGAAATCAAGTTAATTTCAATTGAAAGTTGAATTAATGTCAATGTATTAGCAATTTATTGATTAATGTGAAGTTAATTTCAATTTGATATTGAGTTGATGTTAATTTGATTTTAAGGTAATGTCAAGTTAATTTTGAGTTAATGTTGATTTAATGTTGAGTCAATGTTGAATAATTATTGAGTTAATGTTGAGTTGATGTTAAGTCAATGTTAGGTTAATTTTAAGTTAATGTCGAGTTGATGTTGAGTTAATGTTAAGTTAATTCCAAGTTGATGTTAAGAAACTGTTAAATTTATGTTAAGTTGATGTTAAGTGGATGTTAAGTTGATGTTAAGTTAATGTTGAGTTAATGTTGAGTTCATATTAAGGTAATGTTAACGTTAAACTAATGATGTCATATGAATATTGAAGTAAAATAAATAATATTGATAATGATATCACCTTCATGTGATCGAATATGATTAGAAACATGATCCCTACTCTGGTCTTATAAACACTCATGACATATTATAATATGAATATTTGTGGTCGTAGGAAAAATAGTGTACAAAACTCGTTGGAAAGTGCATTTCCTGCATTATTATTATTATTATTATTATTTCATAAGGATCAGAACTGTCTTTGACTCGCAAATATTTTGCTTGCTTGGTTTCGCATAGAATATGGAATGTTCACCTTTTCCGAAATATTTCTGAATGTTAACACCTTCTGGACCAGTTGCATACTAGGTTTGATCTTTAACAAACAATGTTTTCCATATATAGGACCATATTCAGTATCGTGATAAATTTTAACACATTGGGAATACGAACCAAAATCTACCAAATTTCCTAGTAACACTCCACCTTGAAGTTTTGATGATGAATCAAACACTGAATAAAAAAATAGGTCAATATACTTCGATGATGATATTGATAATGTATTGATTCGCTTACTTTGGAGTGCCCAGGGCTCGAATGCTCTCATCCCAGCTTTGAATTCGTTAGAATGTTTCTTGCAAAGTTGGTCTTGTACATTTTCTAAGCCATAAACCAGTAATACTTGATTCATTAATAGACCCTGTCGCATGGACAACTTCACTGGTTTTTTAGCCATCGTCTTATTTTCACTATCTTCCATATTAGTATGTTTTCTATTGTTCTCATTGTTTTGGGACACAAGATCATTATCATTCAGTTTTGTAATATCAAGAAAAACGTCCTGTGAGTGGCCTGAGTAGAAGAAGAAAAACAGTAGCAAAATAATTGGTACAGAGCTCAAATTGGGTACTGAGATGCTTTGTCTAGGTGCAAAGAAGAGAAACATTTTTATTGATATACTGTCCACAGCTGCATCATGCTAAATATGAAATAAACTGGGTAGGTATACGATACTCATAATAACTACGGAACTTTCAAGAAAGTTTTCCTAGAAAATGTATACTTACGCTTTTTTAAACTTTCATGAGACTCGACGTCAACTTAATAACATCTCGAATCTTATTACAATAATCTGGATAAAGTTTGAAACCTCTTATAGGTATCATTGGTCAAAGATTATCATGAAGAATTTTGAAATATATTATGTCGAAGTGATGTAGTGAGTATATCCTGTTTCTTTTCTTTACTATTCAGGGTGTAATTTATTTGATGACTGAAAATAAAGGATATGGTTCCTTAGTTCATTTCGAGAAGAAGAGTTCATATGAACATATCCCTATAACCTCTCAACTTTCCACCTATACGGTGTTAAAATGTTGAGAAAAAAATCGTTCTCTTATCATAACTTTAATACCGTTCTAGATATTTTCATGGAATTTGATATGCACCTACTAAGTACCAGTGGCGTACGTAAAGGATGTATCCTGGAGATTTTTTGAAAAAAAATATTGTACGCCCTTGATTTTTCCGAGAATGAAAATCATATTTGAAATTCTATTTTTTTTGCAACAATTTGACTACCTAATTTTTTTCCGTCCGAGGAACCGTTTTCGTGTTTGGAAATAAAAACAATTGTCATGCATTTAATTAATTAATTTTAACTAGTGGCTAATGCCCTAATTTGTATTTGAAATAATGTCATTTGATCGATTCGACTCTTCAATCAATAAAGAGTAAATAAAATGTTAACACTCTATAGTGAGGAGGTCTAGGGAATATGTTCATATGAACTGTTCTTCTTAAAATGAACTAGAGAACAACTTCCTATATTTTCAGCCATCAATGGGCGTGTACACCTTAGTAGAACTTTGAACTCAAACCATGTTTATAATGATCCTTTTATACATAAATAATTATTGACGACATAATTCGATCGAAAAATTAACTGGAATGTTTAATTTTTGGAGATAAATAATAGTATTCCTCCTGAAAACGGACCCTCTTATGACGTAGAAACCTCATCTCGCCATAGTTATATAAAAGAAAATACCAAACGCCCGACGGAGACTGAGGCAACTGATATATTAATTCTTTCATGTATCATGTGGTATCATTCAACTCTGTCTGGAATAGTCTTGTTTCAGTATTAGGGTTTTGACGTCACATCATCACCTCGTTTTCAGAGGTCCGAAAAATCGGGGATTTCAATAATTTTTTATAAAACGTAGGGAGCTCACAGCAAGAAACGGTTTGCGGTGGTGAGCTAGTCCGGGTGGGTTCTATCGAATTATGAAATACAATTTTTTTGTGATATAAGCCCATTAAATCACACCCTGTATATTATATTATTCGCACTTTTGGAAACAGTCTACCAAAATTATAGGTATATTACCTGTCAATGCTACAGTCCAGTGTTTCCACCAGTTGATGTACTTTATTTTGCTTTAACATAATGAACTTACTTCAATACGGTTCATTTGAGTTTCTACGGAACTACAGAATAGTTAAACCGAGATCAGAAAATTTTTATTTTCCTCTTTTCGATCAGGGATCAGAATGGCTCTTTCGATGCCTAGGGACAAAAGTGTGCAGCAGATAAATGACAGATTGAATTGTGGATTTAATTTCCTCGTATTCCTAAGATCACTTTAGTCTTAATTCCGTGATGCTATGCTTCAAGAAAATAACAATTATTTTCATTGAAAATGATGATGATGTAGGTACTGAATTTTATGAATGATGTCTCAAACACAAAATATTTCTATGACGAGCTTATTCTAAACTATTCTACTCCTCATAAAATTCGTGATGTATATCATGATAATGAATAGAATTTCTGAATACTCCTTGTATATTTTACTTATCTCTTCCATAATATTGTTATTACATCTTCATTGTCATCAGGGGTACAAGAGGTTACGTTATTTTGAATTGATAAGTTTCTGATATTGTCTTCGATGCTCTGAATACTGATAAAGATTAACACACAACCAACTTACCAATATCTTAGTCGATTTGTGATATTCATGGTGATTGGTATTATAATAATCAATCTATACCTATAAGTATTATATAGGTATTTATTGGATGAGAGATACCCAAGGGAAAAATGTTTTGAAGTCTATGCTATTTTTTTTATATTATTCGAAGACTGGATAAAATTAGGAAATTGTGCATTAGTTTAGTGAAGTCTGTGAACATGTGGAGAACGAAAAATGTTTTCGTGAAATCGAAAATAATAAGTAGCAGAAATTATGTGAGTTGAGATAATTTAAACGTGTATTTACGATAGTTATACAGAATGTCCCAAAATAAAACCGACAAAACTTATGGGGTTATAAGGCCTGCCAATATGATTACAGAACGCCATTATGCAAAATAAATGTCCGAAACCGCTTCGTAACTGACATACAGAGTGATTTGTGGATATTGCCAAAAACTCAATCTGCCATAGTAAATACAAGGATTATCTCATTGGATTCAAATTTGGTGCATGAATCAACCTCGAAGGTTTCAACAAGTAACTTTCTGAACGAAATCCATATCAGGACCGAAATATAATTGTTTCCTATGTTAAGTTATTGTGAGAATAAATCACCCTGTATAATTATTATCAAAAATCTGAGGTCATATTATGAATCTACGGGAAAAATACTATAGGAACTTGTTAAGAAAGTTCCTGGCAAAATTCCAGTCTTTCCGTAATAAATTATAATTTTAATTTTCTTCATTGATTCTCGGCTGAAATATCAGAAATGGAAATGTAATGAATATTTACGATACCAACACATAATTTTTGTTATTCTCTCCGGAAATATTTTATGCACTATACTCTGGTAACCTAATAAGACTGAGGAATACATTTGTATCAGGACCGAAATGACTCTTTTTCATGTTTTTGTAAGTATCTCAGTCTACTCTACTTTGATTTTATATTGATAGGTTTCCCTGAACAGATATATGCAGGTATCGAAAGCTCAGCTGCTGTCTACTAGGTATTAATAGAGGGTCATAAATGAATTGCTTATTGGCACCAATTTTTTGATTCAATCTTTTTGATTCTCCTTTGTGATTTACATCAATAAATATGTTGAAAATTCAAATTACATGAGAATAGATATAGTGGAATGAGGGGATAACTTCAAAATTTCCATCCCTAATATCTCTCAGGCAATGCTGAAATTGCGGAAAATTAGACTTTCAATGAATCCATTACACCATATCCTGAAACTTTCCTGTGTAAATAGACTTCACGTAGAATAAACTTTCTGCTAACCAAAACTACGATCAGGACACAGACAACTAAGACCAGGACACCGACAATAACTAAACCAGACCATCAAAACATACCAAAATGTAGTAAAAATTAATTGTTGCAATATTAAAGTGCCTTTCAGTTTTTTTTTATAATTTCGTGAAAACATAATGATCTATAAGAGGAATAACAGTATAAAACACAACCCAAAATGAAGTTTCTCCATTTTTTTCAAATAGTGGAATTTCACGTAGCTGCAACTCCTAACATATGTGTCCTACAAAAAATGTTTAACCACAGCGCATGCGCCTCGAGGTCGAAAACTTAGATTTTAAGGGCCCCAAACTTAACAACATACTAAAAAATCGCGACTACCCCACCACAGGGTAGTCTGGTCTCTGAATATAGAATGAATCAACAAATGCGAACAAGGAAAGTTTCAACAATTCCGAATTTGGAAAATATAAAATTGTAATTAATTTTCCGATGATATCAGGGTGGATGATGTTTGATCATATTGCATATAAGAAAATGATGATTTATACTTGGGGTGAGAAACTTTTCACGCATGCATGTTTCCCAGAACCGCGTCATGAGCTCGTTATAAAATGCAGAGTATGTTGCAGGGTTGAACGTTGATGCGAATGATAGAATAAACTGAATTACGTAGGCATCGCTGATAACCAGGCTGTTCTACTCACTTGAGGTTGAAAGAAAATGAAAGGATTTGGATATTTCAAAAAATTTTTGGATATATTTATTCAAAACCAGGCTAGTTCTGAATCATTTCTCCATACACTCTTTATGTCTCCGAGACTTGCTCAGGTACCTACCTTGAAAAAATTCGTACATCTAGTTCTTGAAAGTACATTCTACAGGGGTAGTTACAGTCGTAAAGGGGAACACAATCTAATCTATTCATATTATTCTAAATTTAGCAAGATTTATTGTTCAGTTGTTTAAAACTTGAACAACTACTTATCTCAGTATCGATGTATAAAAATGTTGTTATGCAATGCTGTTATTACTTTACTCGAGATATTACCTCATTATATTGATCATTTTCATAGAATTTATTTCTTTTCCATATCCTATCACGATTAAAAGGGAACATCAAGATAAGCAATTGACTAACAATGAATGTATTGTATTATGATAGGCAACCAACAAAAGCAAAATAATAGCCATCAGACGCGAAGACCAAAGCGTCTGGGAACGACGAGCCCCCTTCTCACCAAATCACGTACGAAAACTAGTGAAAAGAGGAGTCAAGGTCATAGTCCAGCCCAGCAACCGTAGGGCGTATCCCATGCAAGCGTACCTCAGCGCTGGAGCTACAGTCCAAGAAGATATTTCTGAGGCTAACGTTATTTTCGGCGTCAAACAAGTACCTGTAGAGCAACTGATACCTGACAAAACCTACTGCATGTTCTCGCATACCATCAAGGCACAGGAATCGAACCTGCCCCTCTTGGACGCCATCTTGGAGAAGAGGATACGTCTGCTAGACTATGAGAAGCTCATGGATGAAAAGGGGATTAGGGTCGTGGCCTTTGGGAAGATGGCGGGTATTGCAGGGACTGTTAATATCTTGCATGGTCTTGGACTGAGGCTGTTGGCCCTCGGTCATCATACCCCATTCATGCATATTGGACCTGCTCATAACTACAGGTAGAGTAGTCTCAAATCACTGCCATTTCCATGTAAATGCTGTTTTATGTTATTTAGGAATTCGAGTATGGCTAGGCAAGCAGTTCGAGACTCTGGATACGAAATTGCTCTAGGTCTCATGCCGAAATCGATTGGTCCTTTGACATTCGTTTTCACGGGTTCTGGGAATGTTTCTCAGGGTTCGCAAGAGGTTTTCCAGGAACTGCCTCATGAGTATGTCGCTCCTGAACATCTCAGGAAAGCTGCTGAACATGGAAGTCTCAATAAAGTTTATGGATGTGAGGTAAGATGAACAAGAACCCTTACCTTTCCTTGAAACCTGACCTGAATTCTGAATGATTTTGTATTCCAATCTAGGTGAGGAGAAGACACTACCTAGAACGTGCAGAAGGTGGTGGGTTTGATCCTCAAGAGTACGAGGAGTATCCGGAAAGATATATCTCAACCTTCACCAAAAAGTTCGCACCCTATGCATCAGTAATCGTCAACGGTATTTATTGGGCAGTCAACAGCCCAAAGCTGATGACCATACCCGACGCAAAACATCTGTTGAGACCTGCACATACACCTTGGTTACCCACATCAGTTGGCTCCCCTGCGCTACCTCATAGGATGTTGGGAATTTGCGATATCTCTGCAGATCCAGGTAATATAATCGAAGTAGGGTACATTGAATATTTCTGAAACCGCTCAGAAATAGTACGGATCTCCTATATCTTTGGACACACTGATAATGAAAACAAATACTGTGAATATTCAAATGTGGGGTTTGTTCCAAACTGTTAGTCGAAAGCTACATTATTTCGAGTGAACTAATTGAAGAAAATTTCGAATTTGAGAAAGGTGACGTGAATTCAAGATAAATTATTATCATCGTATCATGTTAACTACGAGTGATGTGACAACAGTAAACTCATCAGTAAGAATCAGACTTATGTTAAAATAGAATTATAAAAATTTCAATCATCTGGTATTTATGAATTATAATCAACATGTCAGTTACATATTTCCTTCATAATATATGGAATTGATATACGAAATGTATACCATATTTCGTGTTTTGTGATATATAAACATTTAATTGGCTCACAGGGTATAGTGTATTTCAGCACCAAGAAAATTAGTAGTGAATCTATTTTCAATTAGAACCTAGCATTAGAGAATCGTATGAGAATCTAAAAGTCAGAAGGCTAGTTTTCCTTGTGCATGGGAACTCGAAACACAGGTGATTTGAACCACACCAGCTGTTCACCTCACTCAAATCCTGTTCTATGGTTGACTTCAAAGCGTCAATATCTAGTCCCTTCCACATCAGTGTGATCTCATCAGCACACATTGTAAATCTTCCTTGGATATGTATATTGACTAAGTCATTCAAATATATTAGAACCAATATTGGCCAGATTACCGACCCTTGTGGTACACCACATTCGATGTTAAAAGGGCCCTAGTAGGTATCTAGTATTTTTCGAATTGTTTTCTATCTGAGAGGTATTACTCAAACCGATCTAAACGTCTGCCTGTAACTTTTGAGAGTAGGTACCTCTGTATCGGCAACAAAGAAATTGGATGAAAAGTTGAATGAAACGTCAATATTTCTACTGTTTCAAGGCACGATGGAAAATTACTCGATTGATTATATCGATTATTTTTTTTACATGTCAAAATACGACGATTTCGTTATTTAAACCGATAGCAATCCGTTATTCTAGTCAATCATTCTATATTATACTGATAACACTGCATGGTCCTCGATAATTTTAATTGAGCTGTCAATAGAAAACTATAAATAAGGAGTGAAGAATCATGGTTGAATAAAAAATAATGATTATTATTACTGGGCTGAATGAAAACTATCCCTTTCATAAACATAGACAATTACATTCTCAGGTTATAATTTAGTGATGACACCAGATACTAGCGTCTATTGACAAGACGCAACAAACAACCCGTGCGAGCCAAATCTACAGAAAATGTCTGCTTCAAAATTCATTAAAAATTAACACAATGGGATTATGTATAATGACTTTGACTCGTGAGATGTGTCTTTTTCTCGAATCAGTGAAAAAAATGATATTCCCAAATAGAATTTGTCCCTCAAATTCTATCGATAATTTTTTATTCTCATCACTCAAACTTTTTATTTCAAGCAAAATCCTTAAAAAGCGAATTAGATAAAACCACTCGTCCAACGGACCAACTTTGTTTTCGTATTTTCGCCAAAAAAAAGTAAAGGATCAAAAAATGTATCGATAATATTTGAAGGACTCGTGGTATTACCTTCGATAACTTTCTAGAAGAAATGTTCCTTCTTTACAGGCGGTTCTATTGAATTCATGAATGAGTGTACAACGATCGACACCCCGTTTTGTCTATACGATGCCGACAGAAACAAAGACACCAAAAGTTTCAGTGGTCCTGGTGTTTTGGTTTGCAGTATAGACAACATGCCCACTCAGATTCCCAGAGAGAGTACCGATTTCTTCGGAGACCTCTTGTATCCATTCACCTTCGATATTATACAGAGTAATGCTCAGGAGCCATTGGAGAAGCATAATTTTTCTCCGATTGTTCAAGGGGTGAGTATTAAAAATAAATAGATACCGACTGGTCACAAGACCCTGTACCTGTACTCATTTATTCATACCTATACACTGCGTTGCAGGCGTCATTTTGCAGGAATTTTTATCATTCTTTTGAAGTAATCAAATATCTGTCAGTCTGATTCTGTGATCTGGTTTCAAAAACTTGCGAATTTAGTGGTTGTTTAGAAGGACTAGCAGTTCTTCCTCGGAGACGGTGCAATTGGCTTATTTTTCGGAACTATAGCACAACAAAAGCCATCAACAGTGTATATATATGCGTTATATGTATATCCGGGAAGAAAGTATTCACTTTTTATCCCGTGGGAAGAATGTAATTCATGAAAAGTGACATTTTATAAGCTTTCAACAGAGATTAAATTTCAAACTTTCTTCCCGTCACAGAAAAAAATTGTTTTTCTCGATAATGGTGACATATGCGTAAAAATTACAAGGAACAAATATTTCCACAAATGAAACAAAGAACTCATCTATCATTCTAATATCTACCATTGACGCACCACAAAAAATTTATGAAGTGAAGAAAGTCTTAACCCCTGAAATATTATCTTCCTGTTGATTTTCACAATCACTCAACATACTGTATAATGTGAACTCTGAAACATACCCTAAGTTTCAAATTCAATCAGAATATCTTGAAAACTAAAGGAGCTATAGAGAAAAAAAGAAAAAAAGAAATTATAACGCTCTGTAGATCAGTAACGAAACGTTTGCGTTTGCATAGGAACAAAATCTTATTATGGTCTGAAAAATGAGCCCTTGAAATCTTGATACTGAGTTTTGAAACATCCTATACACCATGTTTACTATTTTATTTCAGGCCATAATAGCGAGTAATGGGAAGCTTACCCCCAATTTCGAATATATTCAAGAATTAAGGAAACAATCAATGTAAGTATAATCAATCTCAAAATGAAAATTATTGAACCTATCATTTTTAGATAAATATTCAATCTCAGAATGAAAATTATTGAACCTATCATTTTTAGATAAATATACAGGGTCAGATTGTGCATTGGTGATATTGCTGTGTTTATTTGGAAAATCATTATTTTTTTCTTTTGATAGCCCCATTAACTTCAACGTCGGTACTGGAATTTTGAGTTGTCTGGATATCGATTATTCAGTATCTATTTACTTCCAGGAATCCAATAATTCACCAAAATATGCAAGAACTGACTCATTCCTGATGTAGGCAGAAATTGATCATTGATATAATCTGAAGTTTTTTTATACAAATGTACTAATACTGAAATATTTCAAGATAATCAAGCTCATAAAATTTCTGCCGAAGAAAAAGTCAGAGATAGAAGTCAATAAACAAAATAGTATCAACAAATGAGAAATCAGATCTGCCTAATTTCAAATGTCTTCCTCTGAACAAGATTCACTCAAAAGGGGTGTGTGTGTGTGTCCATACGGCAATGCAATGTTCCCTGGTACTCTTCAATATTATTATTGGTGATCCATTTTTTGTTCGAGAAAATTAAATGCTGTTCCAATAGCTCTCATCTTCTCCATTGATGTTTCAGAAAAACCAAACATAAAGCTGACCACAGGGAAGCCACGGAAAAACAAGTGCTCATAGTCGGCGCAGGGAGGGTAGCAGCCCCCCTTGTTGAATACCTCCACAGGGACAAATCCATCGGCATAACAGTGGCGTGCGAGCAACACGACTTAGGGAATGCTCTTGCCCAAAACTACCCAGGCGTGGAGAGCATATATCTGAATGCCAAGGAAAACGATTCTGAATTGCATGAGTTGGTCAGGAAATCTGACGTGGTAGTATCGATTTTGCCAGCCTTCCTTCATCCCATAGTGGCCAAGGCTTGTATAAAAGAAGGAGTTCATATGGTAACAGCTAGTTATATGTCCAATGAAGTGAAAGATTTACATCAAGCTGCCCTCAATGCTGGGGTAACTATTCTCAATGAAGTAGGACTCGATCCAGGTGAATATTTCTCCTTTCCTCCTAATATATCTCTGAATTCCTCAAACTACATGATAGTTCACCATCTCAATTATTTCCTTAAGGAAAAAATAAGTAGTATAGAATATTTTTGTCAGTGCAAGTGAATGGTTTGGAAACAATAGTTCATTGTTTCAGGAATTGATCACTTATTGGCACTGGAATGCATACAAGATGTCCAGAACAGCGGTGGCAGAGTTACATCATTTGAGTCCTTCTGTGGCGGATTACCAGCTCCAGAATTCAGTGACAATCCTTTGAGATACAAATTTTCGTGGTCGCCAAAAGGAGCACTCTCAAATACTGTGTCTTCAGCAAGGTAATACATCATAAACCAACAAAGATTAAGAGCTGTGAAACGAAAAATATTCATCGATTAGTTTGACTCAAGGGCATCATTCCAGTTTTTCCTAGCAGAGGGAATAATTTTATTGTTATGTAATAAGAGGCTGTATCGTCTGAACCACATATCAGACGTTGTTGCAGTTCTAAAAATAATACTGATCTGATATACGCAAAAGTTATCGATTGGGTCCTGTTCAATGAAAATATTCTCAAGAGGGCGGCACTTCCGGTTATACCGAAAATGGACATCAACTTCGTTATTTCAAATAGAAAGCTATATTTTTTATTCATTAGCCTTCTCTATAAGTAAGTCTGTTTTCGAAATATGTAGACTTTTTGATTTTTTTTAGTATGCACCTTCCTTTTTGAAAATCGACAACTCTATCCTTTTTGAATATATCAGAATTATTTTCAGACAGTGAAGAATAAGAATTGATCTATCATTCGGTAAGTATATTCATGATTGGGGAAAAAAGATGAGAAATCTCCCACCAATTTTTATCCATATATTCCATATTTTTTCAATACATGCAATACATTTTTCAAACAAGGTGTCACTGATTATCGATTGAATTCTCTCAGGTTCCCCATAGGAAATTCCAAAACGCAGTAGTATTTTGTGGAAAATTATCTGATTACTACAAGTACAGGGTGATTCACCATAAATGCCCCCCCCCCTCCTCCAGCTCAGTACTTTTTGAGCCGATTTCAAAATTTGAAAAATCATTCGAAATAATTTTTCATTTAACATCAGAAAATACAGGGTGCTTGGAACAAACTATCTACAGGGTACTAGTTGATTTTTTCGAATGGGACACCCTTTATTTTATTCTACGATCAGTTAGAGATTTCAAAAATGAATCCAACAATACAGGGTATGATGGGGTAATGTCAAACATAGATGTCAAACGACTACGAAGATATAGCCATTTTTCTGATAGATATATTACGCTCAATGCGGGTTGATTAATGAGTTGGTCTGTAAGGGTTGTGTTTTTTCTTTAATAGTTTATTTTCGTCGTATGGTTTTAAACCAATCAGAACGTCCAATTGAGTTAAGCTATGGTGTAATTTCGAATATACGAGGATATACTTATAGAAACTCCGCCAATCTGAAAGTTTGTATTATTTCCATAGTAACCAATTCATATTGTTACATACAAACAAAGCGCGTCGTAAAATCTGACGTTTCGCATCGAATACTTACTACTAAACTATTCATGGTAATACATCTCAAACTGACATTCTTCGTGATTATGCAACAAGTTATCGATGTTGAACCCGAATATTTTGAAGTACCTATAGGCTGTGTCGCGTCTGTGGTTTGACCAGACACATACGTTCTTCAGTATGAAGTCTGACCATCAGTCTGACCAACCAGCTGTTTGGGAATATCGGTCACGTTTCAAACCTGCCCATAAAGTTACCACGCTAACTTTTGATGGGGAAGTCGAGTCAACCATTGACCATTCTGGTATCACCACTGTGGTCGAACGAATGACGACACAGCCATAGTATTACTACTGAGTATCCTGCGTCACCGTCTGTGTTATTTGAGAAAATGAACTAGTATCCTGTAGATCGTTTGTCCCGAGCACCCTTTATATTCTGATGTAGCGGAAAAAAATTATGAAAAATAATTTCAAATGATTTTCAAATTATGAAATCGGTTCAAAATTAACTGAGCTTGAGGATGTGGGGTGGGGGAGCGCAATTATGGTGAATCAGTGAATCACCCGACGAATTATAATAATAATTATTATTATTATCAGAAAGAGAGAGAAAATCTAGAGAAATCATACATCATTCAAATGAATTTAGGCAATCGAATAATCAATTAACAAAATGCGAACTCGGAGCAATTTTTTTCGTTTCGAGAAATTATGGAAACTTATCTACTAAGTATCTATATCTTTCCACAAGACACCCAGTGTACACTGTACAACGTTCAATACAAGGTGTATTCGTATATTGATCTGAAGTTTTTCAGTCTAAATTGTTACCCTGTAAGTAGTAGAGTTGTCTCTGTAAATTTTTTTTTATGTTCTGGTTCCCACGAAAAGGGATATCCTGTAATGTTCAGAGAACATCGTGAGAACCAAGGGAAATAATGTAGAAATTGGTGTTCTTCTCGAATTTCTAGAGGTTATATACCTCAGGGAACACCTCCCTTGGCAATGTGTTCCAGAGCCTCGCTGTTCGTTGGATGAACCAGTCTTTGGAAAGAGATGTTCTGCAGGTCTCCAAAGTGACCACGAAGGGGTTCGAAGCCTCAACTCGACGGGTTAATCTCGCGGGGACTGACAAGGAAGGAACAATTGTTGATATTTCAGAAGAGCATCGTCCATGAAAATATCTATAAAATAGAGCCAGATCGACAACTTTTCTACGGTGTTTCAGAGAAGTGAGTGAGTTTGTGAGCGATGCATCACCCACGAGACGAATTGCCCTTTTTTGGACAGAATCCAACAGTTTCAGGGTATGTTAGGGTGCTGCACTCCAAATATGGGAACAGTATTCCAGGACAGGTCGGATCTGTGCCTTATAGATCATAAGCAGAAGCAATGGTTAATCCAGTGTGAAAATGTTGATATTTCATAAATATCACTAAAATGATACTGAAATTTCAACAGATACCTGAGAAAGGGCCAAATAGTGGAGATTAAAGAGGGAGGAGAGCTGATGCGGGCCGTCAAACCTCTCGATTTCCTCCCCGGCTTCAACCTGGAGGGCTTCCCCAACAGAGACAGCACCAAGTACGCCAAGTTCTATGGCATCGAGGACGCCAACACGATCCTCAGAGGTACCATCCGCTACAGCGGTTTTGCACAAGCTGCTGAACACCTCCAGTTCTTGGGCCTTCTGGACACGGAGGTAAGTAAAGCACTCCTCCTCTTGATTGGTCTTCACATGGATCTCTGTTAAAAAACATTTACAAAGTGATTGTTTGTGTACTGTCAGTAGGTTGATCGAGGAGGTGGTACATTCATTATTCCAGATTTTTTGGGATTTTCTCTCCTCGTTTCTATAAAATAAAAATATGAATATCATTTCAATATTCGTGTAGTAGGTACAAATCAGATGATTTGCTCCAAAATGTCACTGCGTTCAAAGGATTTTCCTACCAGAGAGCCAAAAAGAAAAATTCACTAGCCTTTCAGTGAAAATTTGAATTGAAAAAGGTTCGGGGAAGAGAAATAAATGTATATAGAAAAAATATCAAATTTCCACTCAACTTTCAATCGAATCATCAGAAAAGTATTAAGAAAGGAATAATCAAATGATAGAGCCAAATCAATATCATCTGACCAACAAATTTTCAACAACGAAGTCCACCACATTAAAAATGTTCCAAACTCCTATCCAAAGAATTTTGTCGATAAGACGATTCATCAAATTGAAAACAAACAAAGGTCCACCACAACAAAATCAACCATCAATAACGACAAATATAATACCATACATTCCTAGCATATCTGAAAAAATAAAACGTGTTGGTGATAAATTCCAAGTGGAAACTGTGTTCAAAACTGAAAATACAATAAGATCAATACTAACTCAAACAAAGCCGAAAAATGAATAACAATCATCAAACAATTGTATTTACAGTATACCTTGTGTTTGTGGAAAGTTTTATACAGGTGGAACCAAGACGAAGGAACATAAGTATAAAATTTGATATTTTTCTATACACCTTTATTTATCTTCACCAAACGTTTTTCAATACAAAGGGTCACTGACAAGCTAGTGAAGTTTTCTTTTAGGCTCTCTGATAGAAAAATTCTTCAAACGCAGTGACATTTTGGGGCAAATCATCTGACAAACAACAATTCCCCTTATGAATTGGAATGATCTCATTTACGCACTCACCGGCAAAAAAACTGGCTAGCAAAAAATTCAGCAAAATTGATCGTCCTGTTCGATTCTTGTCCGATTCTGGAGGAATTTTGACCATATCGTAGATTTATGTTTCGAAGTCTTAGCCTGAATTCTAGTTCTAGTAGGGAAAACAAAAGTTGCTCTTTTACCTTCAACTTCTTAACGCTCTGAGGCAAAGGTTAATTGTTAAACTCAGCTTCATTATAATTTGTATTGAAGTGTAATCCCTACTCAACGCAATGGTTTCTGATTCACGTCAATATATTCCTTCAAACAGAAGATACAAGTCTTTTATGAAAGTATGGAATTGTTGTTATTGTTCATCAACAATAATTCAGAATCATTCTCCAACCTTCTACTTCATCATGGTGCTTGATTCACATCAGTATACTATTTTCAAGAGGAGATACAAGTTTTTTAAGAATGTATGAAATTTTCATCAACAATAAATCAGAACCTATAGAACATCTTTAGGATGTACTCCAGAGGCTTATTCGTCTTCGTCCGGTATTATTACTCGATTCACTAACACAATGACTGTCATCAACAGCTGGAAATCGATACACGATTTTCATAATAATAACTAAGCTGTCAAATGAAGACATATTTTGGTTCATTTGGCGAAGGAAACGACAAAACTCATGATAATTGATCTCATAATAAAAGTATCCAATGTTTCCATATCTCTTCTCTGAGATTTTTCTTCCACTTCTGTTACGTACTGCATTCGGAAACGAAGTGTGAATTCCATTTTCAGCTTTAGTCGACAGCCCTCAGATACTTACATCATACAAGATGAAATATTCATTCGAGGGTGTTTAGCATATTCTAAAATCTTACATAATTTCGGTTCATAATAGGTGCATCCGACCCTGCACGAACAAGGGCCCGAAATCACCTGGAGGAAGTTTGTGTGCGATTGCTTGGGCCTGGAGGACTCCAATATTTTCTACGACAACTTGAAGAACAAGATCATCGAGAGGACAGGCTCCGACGTTTCTGTCGATATTCTGGAAGAACTTGGACTGCTGGACGAGAAGACTGTGGTGAAGTGCGGCACTCCCATGGACACTTTGATACATTATTTGTCCACCAAACTGGCATTAGGTAAAGGGACATTGTACTGTGCAGGATTGAGTATATTTCATTCTCGAAGACGCAGGGTATAACATGAAGTTATAGTCATGTTGTAGCCATCTAGTGGCAATAAAGCTCTAAGGTAGGATACAAAAATCGTCTATAGTCACACGTACAGACCCCTACGTCTATACGTTACAGAGTGGTACTACAAGTAAACCACTCTGCTGACAGATGGCACTACCTGACATACTTGAGTGGAATTTTTCCACCACCTATTCAACTGTCAGATCCCATAACTAAGAGATCTAGGATGAACAGAGTTGCCCCAATTGTCAGCAGGAGCGAGACAGTACTGTTTCGACCCACCAGGTCTCATCAGCCGCTCTCGGTCTATTTCATTCTCACTGACAGTATCATCCAGCATACCAGAAAATGTTCTTGGTAGCGATTCGCGATAGAAAATAAGCGTATGCCACCTATCGGAGTTCTTGAAAGCTGTCAAAGCGGCATGTTCGCTTTGTTTTCATTGGTTCACATTTGTTTGTTGTTTGTGCTTATTGGTTATCAAAACAAATGGCTCAGAAGTGTTCAAAATGCTGCCGTCAGGTGAGGCAACGTGTTATTTTCTACCGCGAATACGGCCATTTTTTAATAATTATATTCGCTTATACGAGCACAAATGCTGTGAAATAATGATATTTCATGGAAAACTTGAATTTTGTGTTGAGATTTGATAGCGTCAGAGGTCGGAGGATACACGGAAAAAAAGTGATTGTTCAATCAAGTAAAATTTAATTGAATGAAGCAAATAAAAGTGTCATATATGCACGACAAAATATAATCTTGAAATGATTAAATCTATATCTTGTTTCAGAGCGAAGTTTGAATTAAGTAAATATGTCTTGAATGAACTCTGGATCATATTCAATCAAGCACATCCATGAATTGTTTATGAAGAGATATTGAATTGGATCAAGCAATCATTTTCTTCGATTCAAGATATTGATTCAATCAAATATTTAGTTGATTCAATCAAATATTTGGATGATTTAAAGAAATATTTGGTTGATCCAATGAATTATTTGGTTGATTCAATAAAATATTTGGTTGATTCAATGGAATATTTCGTTGATTCAAGAGAAACTGTATTTCAATTCGATAAATTGTTTTGTTGAACCAAATTCAGTATTGATTCGGGAATTTTCTGAAATTTCACATCAATAGAATAAACTAAACTAGGAGACTAGTCGACTTTTAGCATAGATCTCCAGTCTTTACTTCTCTTCAGCTAATGCAAAACTGTTTCGGATTGCTAATCATTACGATCGATTTATCCAGCTGATAATTCAAACACGAAGAATCAGGCTTCACGTATATTATGAATTCGAGGCAGACATAGAGGAGGCGAAATGATCGCCATCTACAGGTGAAAATTCAACTTGATCTAAAATGAACAAAATATTTCATTGATATTACATATTTCGTTGCTCTATTCAAGCAAATGATCCGTTCGAAACGAGTTCATTGCTACATCGGAATAAGAAAACTTGTATGTTATTTCAAAGATATATTCCCATCAAATTGATCATTATTTGATCAAATCAACAAAATGTTTAGAGTTGAATCAACATCGACATTATTTTGGATCAACATAATTTGTTTTTGATAAAACCATATATTTTGTTGATGGAATTGATATTATACTGTTGATTCAATTAGACTACATTCTTGATTTGAACAAGCTGCTTCAATGGAATAATCATGTATCAGGTTGATTCAACAAAAAATTGCTTAGTCCAACAAAAATAATTCAAGCATAAATAATGTGTTGATGCAACAAATCCTTTTTTTCCGTGTACTTTGTTATATATATCGGTATACAGGGTGTTCCTAAAAGGTGTATACAAAATATCAGCACATATTCCTGATTTGAATCAACTTATCTCAGTCTGAAATTGCTCCATTTCCGAGATATACAGAGTATTAAAGTTTAAAAATGACATTCGAATGTGTCAAATTGTATGAACATTTTTGAACGTATCACTTCAAAAATTTGCGGCTTTTTTGGGATGCGAAACCCGAATACGGACACCTTTTCACTGTAGCCATTAGAGGGCGCTTACCAATTAATGCACTTCCTATGGTTTAGAATGGCCATAACTTTTTTCTCAGTATGGTTTTTCACTTTTTTTATCGAGGAAATAATTCTCTGAATATTATCGAGCAAAAAAGGTACGCCTGTGAAAATATGCTAAAGTTAACCATTTTCAAGGTATTTTGGTTTTTAGTGTTAGAAGCGGAATATTTAAATTATTTTGAATAAAAAATGTTTGCTGTTATTATCTTCGTGACTGTTATTTTGTCAGTGATTGAGCAGTGCAAAAATGTATTTTTGAAAATTCTTTCTTGAAGTGTACTTGTCGATTTTTATTTTTCAAATTCACCACCCTGTATCTCGGAAACAGAGCAATTTTGGATTGAAGTAAGTGGCTTTGAATCGGCTCATTTCAACCTGAGAACTATCTGCTAAGATTTTGTACAGACCTTTTAGGGAAACCCTGTATAGTTTTTTGTAACTCCATGATCAGCACGGTATCTGTAGATGTTGTTGTTCTGGAATCAAAAAAGGAGTTGAAAAAATGGAGAAGTAAAAAATTGCCGAGGAGATCTTTGGCCCGCCAAATTTCAACCAACATTTTTTCGATAATTCTCTTCACATCCAGTTCATTTAAAATAGACAAACGGAGAATGTATTTTAAATTGGTGGTTTTTCTTGGACTATAGAGAAATGAAGATTAAATTATTTCAAACAACCATAATGAGTGGGGTAGATCCACCTGTAATAAAAAATTATAAAGAATTATGTTGGGTATATGAATAATTCTTCTATAAAAAAAAAGTTTTGCATTTCAAAGGAATTATTCCAGTTCTTGGTCATCTTTGTGATGAAATGGCTCTGAAATTTTATTTAGAATTCAGTAATTTAACAGGATATAGGGTGTACTCCTTTAAAATCAGGAATTTGACTTCTACTACTACACCTTTTCCAAATGAAGCGTTAATTCAATTTCAGAAAGCGCCAATTGTATTTCAGAACAGTCACGTGCATTTTAGGAAGCATCAATTGTATCACAGAATAGTCAATTGAATTTCAGAAGGCATGAATTGTTTTTCAGAATAGTCAATTCAATTTCAGAATGCGTCGAATATTGCATTTCAGAATAGTGACGTGTATTTCAGGAAGCGTCATTTGAATTTAAAAAGATTTCTGAAATCACTTTCTGAAATTCAATATTGACTATTTTGAAATACAATTGACGCTTCCTGAAATTCAATTGACTATTCTGAAATACAATTGACGCTGTCTGGAATACAACTAGAAAGGGTATAGTATAGTAGAAAGTAGACATAACGATATCTTTTGCAGGAAAAAATGAGAGAGATATTATTATTCTGAGACACGATATTGGAATTCAGTGGCCTGATAACAAGAAGGAGGCCAGAGGTATTAATTTTGTGGTTTATGGAGATATCAATGGACATTCAGCTATGGCAAAAACAGTTGGTTATCCTGCAGCAATCGCCACGAAGATGATTCTTGATGGTGAGTTTGTATATCCAAACTTGAAAATATCCCTCGGCTTACGAAACCGTCTTTATTTTTCATTATATCGTCTCACAGAGAAACTGTCAACCGGCCGACACTTAACAATTCCATATTCCTAATTCGGTGTTGTGACATTTCTAAAGAAAATTTCATTTTAATGTGAAAAACTTCACGAACGATAAGATGTCCATAAAATTATTGAAAGCATGACATGTTTCACTCGAGTCAATATAATAGTATATTATACACCTATAGGGTGAGAAGTGAGCTATTATATAACAAGCACTTTGATATCAGGAGGAGCGAAGCACCGAAGGATATAATGTGCGAGCTATATAATAGCATTCTCACCCGAGGTAAATTATTATTATTATTATTATTATTAAATTTGAACAAGGCCAGAGGCGAGGCCTATCATGCCCAAAAATATATAGACAGATAATTGAATTGAATATTGAAGTGTACAGGATACTTATAGTTCACTGAAACTGATACGAGTAGACAAAATTATTCTGCGAATTCAAAAATAGTGTTTTTGGACGTGTGCGTACACTATATTTTCATAGTTACTGTGACAACAACGATGTGATATCTACCGGCCCAGTCCAGGAAATAAGTACTTCCTGGACTAGGTAGGCCGGAAAAATGCTACTTCCTCAAAAAAAATGAGTCCGAGAAGAGAGCACTTCCCGGATGGTTGCCGAAAAAATATTTTTCCACTGATAACACTGAAAATTCAACATAATTTATCAATTCAGATTTTCATTTCCATTGAAGGAGCAATGCCATTCACCGTGTATATCAGAAAATAAACGCTGTATTGAAATTCCAGGTGAAATTGTGAATAACTACAAAACCGTGTAACAATTTTAGTGACATCTATTTTGATAGGAAGCTTGTACCCCTCCTACAGTATTCATAATATGTTTTGAAATATTCAAACTATATGAATAACGCACATGATACCATTGAACAATCATTGAAGTGGTACAGGCATCTTAATCATATCGTATCGACCGCCATAGCTGAAATTGTATTGATTGGTCCAAAAATTTGTCCTTACCAAAAGTCATTATTTGAATTCTAAGTCTGAGTCACACATGACAGTGACAGCTGACGTATGATTTGTGTGGTAATATTTTTATTAGAATTATTAATAATCAGATTATTCCAAACATTTTTCATATACTCCAAAAGTTGCTTTCAGTTGTAATGAGATTTGTAGTTTCAACTATATTTGGTTTTAAGAATGTATCGTTTTCGTTGGTTGCATACGCATCGGTATCTGTGTGTATATTGCATAATATCATTGACACTATTGACAGTTTTTTTCTACCTAGGTGAAATTTCTTAATCAATTCATCATTATTCACCTAGGTGACTAGGTTACTTTTCATTAGAGGTAATCCTCGAATAATGGTGATTTCTCAGGTTAGTGGTGGAAAAAATGAATTTGTACTTTCATCATACTTCAGCTTCGTCTAATAGCCCTTCAATTTTTGTAGTATAGGTACTTGCCACTGACTTTCCTTTACCATATCCCCACAAGAAATTTACCATATGCATTGAATTCAAGGGTTGAATCTTCAAATCGGAGAACCGAGTATCGATCATTATTTATCATGAATTTGTTTTCAGGGGAAATTCAAGAAAGAGGGAGCATTTTACCATTTGCTCCCGAAATATATCGGCCCATTATGCAACGATTGAGAGCGGAAGGTCTCAACAGCACTGAAACATCCAAATTCTAATTTTTTCCAAAAATGTATTGATAAAAAATAATATATTTATTGTAGTTTAGAGTTTCATTACTGATCCTATCACACAAGAATATGGAAGTTAAATAAGTGGTAGGTATAAGTAGGTATATACATCTCTATATCTTCCATGAATATACTCACGAAAAAATATAGTTATTTATTATACAAGGGAAAAAAGTAGTAGAGACTTTAGCTCCAGGTTGTGTTTCCCGTGTATAATACACTATTTCTTTCTGTGACAGGAAAAAGGACGAATCAATATTGAGATATATTGTATTAAAATCAGAAAATTATCGACGTGAAATTTGAAGTTATTAATAGGGATGACACCAGCGTTGCAGGCATCTTTATCATTCTTTTGAAGTAAACTAATCATCGTCGATCTAAATGAAAGCTAGTAGGCGACCTAGTACGCGAGGAGGTAGAACACGTTCTTGCCTACTAACTATCTAACTAGGTTGTCATCTAGAACGACAATGATCAAATACCTGCCAGTCTAATTTTGTGATTGGATTTTCAGAAATTGCGAATTTGGTGGTTGTTTAGTTCCTAATTTACGTAACACGTAACCGCGAAACCGAATGGAAGATAAAGGGACTTGCAGTTATTTCTCGGAAACGGTGTTATTGGCTTATTTTTCGGAACTATAGCACAACCATACAACAAACGCGATCAACAGTGTATACAGGGTGTCTGTAAAAGGTCTTTACAAAAACATACCACATATTCCTTAGACCAAAATAAGTCGATTTAAGTAAAATTACCTCAGTACAAAGTTGCATCGTTTGGATTCCAGAGGTCCTTGAAGTTACGATTTTCAAATCGTTATTCCCATATAAATTCAAAACGGCAACGGCATATGCGATTTTGTTGAAATCTGGTATAGACATTTCAGGGACACCCTGTATAACAATCAACTGATCGTAAAACAATTCAAATCCATGTGGAATGATAAAGCTGTATTAGTGCCAAAGATGCTTCAGCATCGAGAAAAAAAACAAACGAGGCGAGAATTGTCTTCCATACATATGCTAAATAAAATTATTATCTACTTACTGGGAATTCCGAATTGTGACTCAGAAATTGGAATTGAAACTCGGAATTCCGGATGTTAACAAGGATTTCCGAATTATTGCAACTCCGAGTTTCGACTTGCAACTTGCAACTTAGAATTTAGAATTGTAAATCGAAATTCCGACTTGTAACACGGAATTCTGGATTTCATCTCAGAATTACAATTTATTCACAGACGCACAAAATATGAGCGAGAAAATAGCGTTGAGTGAGAATATGATATTGTTACAACATTGTGACAGGATGATTCAAAATTCGATGTAAGTAAATATTTCAAGGATCAAAATAAGACATATAAACATGTGTCCTAAAATGCTCCGAGCTACATCTACTGTAAGTTATATACATAGGTAAAATACTAGATTATCCAAAATTGTGACTAAAATAACGAACCAAATCTCCTGAAAATTGGCATGTCCTTGCCTTTTTAGAAACTTAATTTCCTTCTTGCTCCAAAAATGATGTGAACCCAGTTATGGGGAGTTGGAGGGGGGGTCCACACTTTTATTGGTCAAAATGTTATGTTTAAAAAGAGAAACTCTGACTTTGAAACGAGCTTTGAATAACATGATCTTGTGGGCCATAAAAAATGTAAAAATTTGGTATCTCTTGCATTTTTTGCCAGAAAATCGTAATCAACGAAAGGGGAAGTCACGACATCGTTTTGGAACGCGATGGGTTAAATGCTTGATGCATATACGCAGGTGATCGTATGTCGGAACGCATTCGAGACTGCTATTCCAGAGGCGTGCAACTGGAATACTTGCACTTGATCACATAATTTCAGATATATTATTCCTTTAAGTCAACTTATAGTGGCTGTAGCTCGGAGGTGCCCAGACAGCACCAGATATTCCATGAATCTCTCTATCATATTCCTTTTGGAATATTGGAATATTCTAGAAATAATCTGGAATATTCTGGAATATCTGTGGAATATTCTCTAAATATGCGAATGGGAATTCCTCAGATATTCATAGAATATATCCAAAAGAATATTCCATGTTGAATATTCCTAGAATATTCCAATAAACATATTCTAAAATAAAAAAAGTGACCCTAGCAGGGATCGAACTCGTGACCTCAAGACTATCAGACCAACGCCTTGACCACTAGGCCAGTAATCGAATTGAATAATGTTGTTCATATCAATTTCTTGTGAGAGCGTTTTCGAAATCGGATCATGAACACTTTTTGTTTCAAAATCCCCTTACATCTAATTTTGATGTTCGATACTCACAACTCTGAAATAATGATGGGTATTTATGTGTTGAGAAACATAGGAATATTCATGGAATATTTCATGAATATACACCACAGAATATTCAGTTGAGAATATTTCATGAATATACCGCACAGAATATTCAGTTGAGGATATTTCATGAATATACCCCACAGAACATTCAGTTGGGAATATTTCATGAATATACAAGATAGAATATTCATTTGGGAATATTCCTGGAAAATTCATACCTGAATATTCCCTGAACATCACTTTGGAATATTCCTTCTAGATGTTCCAGAGGCATGTATATATTCTAGGAATAATCGATGAATATTCGGAATATACTCCTCCTTTTTAGCATATTTAGAGAATATTCTAGGAATATCCAGTGCTGTCTGGGTGGAACATTTTAGGAAACATGTTTGAGAGAAGAAAAGTTTTATTGCGATCCCAACAATACGTCCTTTGACTTTGTTTGACTCGCAAATTTTGCCTTCACACTTTTGATCCTAATAAATCAATCTACTATTCCGCAGATATGTCGGTTTGATTCTACAGTTATGCCAACATACCATTTGAGTAAAATCTCATGAGCCGTTTCAGTGTTATGAAGCAAAAACAATAAGAAGATTTTAACTTTAGAGACGTCTAGGGTCCAAACTAAACAACTTTGTACTGAGGTATAGATTTTTTTTGGTCTGACGAATTTAGTTAGGTTTGTGTAAAGACCTTTTAGGGACACCCTGTATACATTCAAAAATTGATGGAGAGATCATAAAACCATAATTTTCATTGAATCAAGTGATGAAAGAGTATGTACATGAGTACAGAGACTATAAGGATAGATCAGGGCCCCAAATTTCACGGTCCGCTCCTGGGTGCAAATCTGAAGAAAAAATGCAAGGTCCAAATATTATGTGATGTCCCTTCTAGCTAGACAACCAGCTTCTACCATTTGTTCGATTAGAGCCTTGTAGTTAGGCAACCCAACGTTCATCCTTAATGACAGTTCTTTGTATATTATCATTGAGTTCCTTGTTCGTTTCCTCGCGCAGCGGACTTCTGAGTACTTGTCAGATACAGAGGCAGCAGAAAGTTGAACCAGTACCGTAACAAAGTATTGTTTTTTTGTGTAGTTTTATGCATATAGAAATGGTGTATATATCGAATTTAGCGACCAAATCGCTTATTCAAGTTTCCTAGTGCTTGTATGAAAGTGTAGTGCCTCATAAAAGACTTATAAAATATGGAAAACAGCTCACAATCATCTACTAACCCCATTTCTCAGGGGTGTGGCCCAAATACCCAAATAAATATACATGTGAGCCCCACCACGGGGGGCGACTTTTACCTTTGTGTAGATTCAGACATTACAATTGAGAATCTCAAAAAACTCGTATCAAAAAGACTCAAAGTGCCCAGAGACAGACTATGTTTACTCTTCAGAGATAAGTGGGTTTCAAACCCAAAGTACAGTTAATTTTTATTTTTTGAATCATATGTATTTCAGGCAATTACAAGATGGAAATTTGGTCCAGCATGGAATAGCAGATGGATCTAGGATTACTCTATTACCTAATGTGGAGACAGGACTTATAGTATGTTTTATTTTTCATTAATTCTTCATCCTACCTGCACCTGCAATTGTATTCTCAACAGTATACTTTGGTCTGGTCCACCCTACCAATTTGAATTACAAAACCTGATCCATTGTTGTGAAAGGAAGCTAACATTTATATTTAGGTACTAAAGATAGAAAGGTAGGTTTTTCAGCAATATTGACAAAACATTTTGATCAACAATATAAGTAGTTAGTGTTTGTTGATTGTTGTATGGTATGAAATAATCAATATTTTCAATGGTGTGATACCTGCTGCTGATTCAAATAACCTTCAACATTGGACAAAACTTGCATTGGTCAGATTTTAAAATTGATTCAGAATTTGTTTTGTGTATAATACAGAGTACAACTGTACAGTCTACAGCATAATATAGATAATAGCTATAGACAGGGATTGGGCAAAGTTGAAAGGACCTAATTCATGATATCAATTTTATTCAAAATTTTATCATTTTTCTATTGGCATCATCATTAATATGGTATCATGGTAAATTATGGAAGTACAATGAACAAAGTAAAACTTCTATAGATAATGTTATGGTAATATTATTTTGTATTGTACTTGTATTATTTATTAGCTAGATCAGACCCGAGATCAGACCATTGTCAATCTAGGTTTACTTGCACTTACAAGAGTATTCCAATATTTTCAGGGTGAGTTAGTCCTTCTACATTGATTGACTACTTTTTTCTCAATAATTTTGATGCATGCATAGTGAGGGGACTCCAAAAACTCATTGCCTATTGTGAACTCCATATATTGTCATTTTCCAATGAATTCTAGTTTTTGAGATGAGCTAGCAACAAATGCATATATGTGAAATCATTGTGAAGCAGTGTCTGCTGCAATAAATTCAATAATTGATTGAGTATAATCATATGAATATGAAGAGGTAATGATGGAATTATTCTAATTTAGCTAGTGTGCCCGAGAGTGTACCTGGTTCAAAACTGTTTTCAGAAAAAATATATATTTTTTAGTGTTGTTGGCATGGAAATTAGAAAATACAGTAATGAAATTTCTTTATGGTCAATGGCAGATTTTCATTTTATGTATAATAGGAATGATCAAGTAATTGAAGGCATTATGTTCAGCAGCTTTTCACCCTCTCTCTTATAGTAGGAGACTGAGAAGGGTATTTTTGTTCATGTAAACATTTTTGCTTATACCTACTGCACCTATCAAACTCTGAGAACCTGCTTTAATCTTTCATTATTCATTGTTAATATTTCTTGAGATTTTTCATTGTGGTACCAATGAAATCTTTGTTTACCAAAACTGGAATTCTCAAAGATTATCTGGAATACCTTGGGATTCTTTGAATTCCTATAGAAATTCAGCATAAGACTTTGTGATGGTGAGAAGTCTGATGAATTTAGTTCTTTTGATTCCTTGGTGTGCAAAATTCAAAACTAGCCAACAAAATTAGCCTTCCTGGTGCAAAAGATAGCCTAAGTTCAAAGTAGGATAATTCAGGAATTTTCCAAACACTTTGGAATATCTCTAAATAGTTTGACATGGTAATATGAAACTTGAGTGATTTCAGATTATCACCCTGTAAAAACTCTTTCTGAAATCACTGGAGTTCCATATGGCAACGACAAACTGTTTAGATATCAGGCTAAACATTGGTGAAAACCGATTCTAAATAAGTTAGGAAATTCGTGTTTATCCACTTGGAATTCAATCTATATTTTGCACCATGAGCTCATCAATGTTGACCAGTTCATATGGCAGTTTACCTCCTGATACTTCTTCGATTTGAAGATATCAGCTTCTGAAAGTTTATGGCAGACATAGATTAACCAGTTGTAGAACAATTAAAAAAAAATTAAATATACACATTATAAAAAAAAACTACCAAAAAGTAGGTACTGATATTTTTTCAAATAGCAAAATTTGTCTTTGAAAAAACAGAGGATTTGTACAAGATATTAATTAGTATATCAACCTTTTTTTTTATTTTATTAAAAATTCCTGTAATCATACTCTTCAATGCATTTATTAAAATAATTCGTACTCATATTTCTCAACATTAAAACGGAGATTAGAACAGACATTGTACACTATAGAAAATAAAAAATCATTACTATGCAAACTTCTATTTTGAGTCAAATATCTAGAAAACTGTTCAATTAGCTCAGTTGGAGGTGATGCTGAGAGTGATGCCTTATTTGAACAAAATTGAACAATGAATTCGAGAAATTGAAAATAATCAAAATTTCATCAGTGGCTGGCAAAATCTGGGAGGATAAGTAACCACAACCCCCTGTACCTTTCTGGTCAAAAATTGACCCATTCAAAGAAAAATATTCAATCATTCTTGAGTTCTTATTCCCAACTTCAACACCCTGTATCTTGTGAACTGAACATTCGAGGACCCTATGTCCGTATCTCAGTAATTATGAAATCACCAGGGCTATCACCTGTCAGGAGTTGTCGGTCGTATTTCGAAACATCCTGTTTATCTATCATTTCGTTCAGTGTATTGGCAAATCATGACATGATTAAAAGTGGGGCCCTTGCACTCTAGAGGTACATCAGACATAAGAATATTTCATACCAATGAAGCTAGCAAAGCCACTTTCAAATTTCAACATGAGACACATCTCATAATTTTAGACTCATTTTAGGCTAATTTATTACCCCATTCCCGAATTTTTCGCTCCTCCCTATCATAGAAAAATCTGTGGCTTTGCTAGCTTCGGCCGAACTCAGCAAAGCCATTTTTGAAAAACAATATTTTTTGAATATCTGATATAGTGATAATGTAGTGCTCATTTTAGGCTAATTTATTACCCTATTCCAAATTGGTGAAAAATATAATATTTTTAAAAATGGCTCTGCTGAGTTCGCCCGAAGCCCGCAAAGCCACAGGTTTATTTTAAAAAATATGCAGCAAAAAATTCCAAAATGCAATAGATATTGATCTCATAATCAATACTAACGGTTTGTCTTGAAAAATCGTCATAAAATATGCTTTTGATAGAAATACATAATGTACAGTGAATGAGGGGTATTTCAACAAATTGTCTTGTATTTTTTCTGTTCGAAATGTTGAGCGAAAAATTCGAAAATAGGGTAATTAATTAGCCGAAAATAAGCCTTTTAATACTGATATATCAAATTGGTGAAAAATATAATATTTTCAAAAATGGCTCTGCTGAGTTCGCCCGAAGCCAGTAAAGCTACAGGTTTGTTTCAAAAAATATGCAGCAAAAAATTCCAAAATGCAATAGATATTGAGCTCATGATCAATACTAACACTTTGTCTTGAAAAATCGTCATAAAATATGCATTTGATAAATATGCATGATGTATAGTGAATAAACGCATATTTCGACGAATCGTTTCGGTTTTTTTCAGTTTGAAACATCGAGCGAAAAATACGAAAATAGGGTAATTAATTAGCCTAAAATTAGCTCTTCAATATGGATATATCAAATCAGTGAAAAATATATTATTTTAAAAAATGGATCTGCTGAGTTCGCCCGAAGCCAGCAAAGCCACAGGTTTCTTTTAAAAAATATGTAGCAAAAAATTCCAAAATGTGATAGTTATCAAGCTTAAAATCAATAGGAACACTTTGCCTCATGAAATCGTCATAAAATATGCTTTTGATAGAAAAACATAATGTAAAGTGAATGACGCATATTTCGACAAATTGTCTTGTATTTTTTCTGTTTGAAACGTTGAGTAAAAAATTCGAAAATAGGGTAATTAATTAGCCTAAAATTAGTCATTTGATCTCAATATATCAAATCGGTGATAAATCTATGTTTTCAAAAATGGCTCTGCTGAGTTCGGCCGAACCTAGCAAAGCCACAGATTTTTCTATGATAGAGAGGAGCAAGAAAATTGGGAATAGGGTAATAAATTAGCCTGAAATAAGCACTACATTCTCACTATATCAGATATTCAAAAAATATTGTTTTTCAAAAATGGCTTTGCTGAGTTCGGTCGAAGCTAGCAAAGCCACAGAGATGTGTCTCATGTTGAAATTCGAAAGTGGCTTTGCTAGCTTCTTTGGTAAGAATATTTCGTGATTGTCTTGCAGGCACATTGAATCTGATTCCAGAGAAAAGTCCAGGCGAATTGATTTTGTGAATTTTCAATATTATGACATATATAGGGTGTTTCATAATATACATGCAGGACTTCAGGATGTGATAGCTCGTCCAGGAAAAAATGAAGAAAGTTTCTATCAACTCCCCCTCTAAAATGCAAAATTTTGAAATAAACAAAAACAAGTTTTCTGCGAATATCTATGGAACTGATTATCGCACAGAAAATAGCTTCTGTAATAATTTCCTACTCACAATAAGCTATGTTTTGTGCGGAATTTATTTTCTCTAAGTCATAATTGGTGGAGATTTTGAAGGGGTAATGGGTGTATTTCTCCCCAACTTCAATTTCCCTGGAAAAAGTACAGCTTTGAGCCGCCCATTTAAACTGCCAATGTTTTCTTCACGAAATAGGTGCTAGTGGTCATAAGCTCTAAAGTTTACCGTTTTCGAGAAAAATCAACTCTTATGTTGAAAATCACGTTAAATTTTGGTCAGTTCTTTGGAATATTTTTTGGTTGAAGTATGGTTTTTTATTGTTTCTTTTTTATTTTGCAATTATGAAGTTAACGTTTGACTTTGTTACTTGTTCTAACACTTAAATAAATTTTGTTTTATTAGTAAACTAATATTAATTTCAAAAAAATTGACCATCTTTTTCAACATAAAAATTGATTTTTGTCGAAAACGGTCAACTTTAGAGCTTATGAGCACTTGAGCAGTAGTACCTTTTTTGTGTAGAAGACATTGGCGTTTCAAATGAGTCGTTCAAAACTGTACTCTTCCCAGTGGCGCAGAAGTTGGGGAGAAAAATACCCACTACTCGAAAAAAAAATCGCACGCTTATTATGAGTAGAAAATGCTTACAGGGCTGTTTTCTGTGAGAAAAAAAGGTTCCAGAAATATTCGCAAAAACTATTTTTTTTTTTTTAACACCCTGTATCTCGAAAATGGTGCATTCATGGTGCATTTGCATTTGTTTTTATATTTTTGGACTAGCTAAATCACCTCCTAAAGTCCTGCGCATATATTATGAAACACCTTTAATCTAGGGATGCACCGGGAACTGTTTTCTGAAAAAGCCGGGTATTATCAACCAAATAAGTGCATTGAAGCTGTCGTGTAGTTTCTATATTCCATCATATCTATCTCCTAATATCTATATTGCACTAAGCCACAATGCCGACGAACGTTATTCTTTGAAACATCAATAATAACCATGCATAATCAGGGGCACAATTTACCACTCCTTGATTTTGAATATTAGTTTTATCACGATTTTTTGTTTTGGGTTCTAGTGAGAATATTATTTGTGTTATTAATATATTTCCTTCCTCAAAAATATTGCAATCAGGGGTAGGTTAGTTCGTTGAGGATAAATAGTCTCTGAGTTTTGCCTAAGTAAAGTACTTTGAAGATGAGATATAACGTGGTATGTGCTACTTTTTCAATCGATTTATTTATATGAATCAGCTACGTTGTGCTGTCAAAGATAAGATTTTGCAGGATTGTGCTGGGCTCGATTATATTTTGCAATGCCGTAGTAGGGGGCGTGTCTTGTGCTGCAATAGTTTATATTTAGTAAAATTGCTACCCGGTACCCGGTGCATCCCTACTTAATACCTTAGAAATTTGTTTTGATTTTTTTTTTCTATTTCAAATTGTGTAGTTTGATATTCTCGTAACCAAATTTCTGAACGGAATTCGAGTTTAGATCTGAGTAGAGTGAAATACATAATCTGTAAAGCTTCTATATTGGCAAATTCTGATGTTTGTCATATTACAAGGCCTAAAAACCGGTGCTGCTTCAATTATAGGTACAGGTAATACCCAGGTCTTTCATCTCCCTTGCACCTGATTTGTCTTCTTCGAGGTCTTCTTGCATCATTATATAATTGAAAAATTCATATTGTTTGTGGTTGCCCACCGGCCTGACCGACCTGTCCTTAGTGTCACGTGACTGATCACAATGACATACCACTGATCAATTGATAAGATACCAAAAATATCACATAACCTGATATCCTGAAAACCAGGTATATTAGGAATAATCCGAGAATAACTATATTCCTATTTTATGAGTCATCGAATTCCTTGAGACAGATTTTGTGGATGAATAAATAATTTTGAACTGCATAACTAACAGAAATAATACACTCAAGTGAATCATTCAGTGATGTAATGCTATTTTTGTTGAGAAATAAGCTATTCGAGTCACTAAATTTTGAAGACTGTAGATGCCCTTGGCACTTTTTTGAGAAATTGTATATTGTTTGGAGGTAATACTTTATATCCTTGAACCGCATCGACCATCAAAAAGCCCGAGCGAAGTGGTCTTGGATCGGTCGGTATTGGTCTTCAATAAAAAACGTAACCATTTGAGGTTAGGTCCATGCGGTCATCAATCAAAAACCCTGTGGTCGAATAGTGGTTCATGTGGTCGCGGCAATCGAAAACTCTCCTCTCGAATCCAATGCCGGATCATTCCCTGAAAGATGCTAAGCTGACTAAATTTTCTAAAGGCACAAAGGCCGATTCCCTGAAAGATGCTAAGCTGACTAAATTTTCTCCAAGGCACAAAGGCCGGAAATCGGCATAATGCAGGCCCTCGAATCCCTCAACGACACCCAGGTGAACGAGTTCCTGTGCGGCAAGGCGCCCCTCAACCTGAGCATGCGCCTCGGCGACCACATGATGCTCATCCAGCTGCAGCTGAGCACCGTGTCGGGCGGCAAGTCGGCCGGCCCTGTGGCCGCCCCTTCCGCTGCGGCCGCCCCCGTGCCCTCTCCCGCCCCCTCGTCGCCGGCCGGGCGGCAGGGGCTGCCCACCAGCCCGCCCAGCCTGATGCAGGCGTCACGGAACCTGCAGCACACGCTGAGGAGGTTGTCGGCTGATGTGTTTTCGGGGAGAGACAGGGGTGAGTAGCCGATAATAATCAGTTTTATCATTAGCGACAAGTTGAGTTCCTTATTGTACTTGACACTAGAGTCACTAGATGGTATTAGTTGGATAAGAGTTCGGGCACAGAAATGACAACTGTTAGTGTTTTTCAATGTTTAGATTCATCATAGAGGGTCAGGTAGCCGTGTGGACAGAATTCGCTTGCCGGTCGTGGGTTCAATTCCCAGCGACTGCAGATATTTTTCTGATGGCCCAAGAAAGTGTTTGGGATCATACGTTAAAAGGTAAGGCCCCTTCATTCCTTGCTGGCACAAGACTCTCGAAGACTTCTGAGGGTTGCTCGTAAGGGGGCAACTGAATGACGGATAGAACGAACAATTAAGGTACACACTTTGCATTACGACAAGAGCACCATAGTCGTTCCGCGCTTTTTCATTCAAAATTGTTTGGATTTGACAATAAATACTTAGAACGTCAGAATTACAATTACAATACCGACCCAATTCAAAATGTATCAGTGAATAGTGAATGCAGCAAATGGTGGAAAATCAAAACAATCTTCATGTTTCAAATTTAATTACTCAAGTACAGTTTTACATACAATAAGGAACTATATAGCTTTAAGTATATCCATTTGTTTTTATTTTGTCATATTAAAATGTTACATGCATTCTCTTCATGCTTATAACTGTTGTTCTGCAAGAACTATATTGCTATACATTGAAGTGGGTGCTCATACCCTACGGCTATGATTGATTCGACAGAAAAATCTAACCTCTAAAATTGTATCTGACAATCAGGCGCTACTAGGGAAATTAAAAAGACAAAGAGCAGAATATATAATATATGTGTCATTCTTTTATACACTCAAACCATTGTAATATAGAAAATAGAAAAGGACAGCTGTGTCCGAACTCTTATCTAACTAATACCATCCAGTGACTACTTGACACTGCTGTTTTGACGTTTTTGGTATTAGAGTACGGACACTCGACAAGCGGTGACAGTGAGACATAACCAAAAACTATTTTCAAGTAAATCATATATTTTGTCAGACGAGGACAAGAATTGCTTTATTTCTGACAGTGACATTATAAGCTTATATCTTCATAGTTACGATATCTATAATGAGGGTCATAACTCCCTTGGGATGTTATAGATGCTATAATTCCCTCTAGCTAAAATTAAATAAGAAATGCATAGCAACAACCACGCAATAATGTAGCAATAAGGAATCTCCTATTCGCGGTAGTCAAGATCATCATCTGACGTTCTGATGACATTGAAACTATACGGAAAAACATGTCTAACTTCCAATCGGGAAGGTATCTAATGAATGAAATCAGTCAGAAATAAAATGATCTATGTACCACGGGAATTATAGAGCCTTAATAACCTCTGGCAATTGCTGTCCCTCGGGCCAGAGGCCCTCGGGACGCAAACTTTGCCATCGGTAATTAAGGCCCTCATAATTCCCTTAATACATAAATAACTATTTTCGCTCAGAGATGAAGGCTTCTCGCATCTTCCTTTCTCTACATGTTCGGGGAAGAGTACATCCATATATCTTTCTTTGTCTTTCAATTGTGGATGAGGGTGCACAGTTCTTCTTGAAATATGGAATGAATGGAATGATAGGACTGCAGAACCTCGATGGAGGTCGATGGTCAGCTGTATGTACAGGGTGGGCCCAATTGGATACTATTAAAGGGAAAGCCTGTATTTTATCCTTCTTCCTTCTATCCAACTTCCTTCCAGGCCGACGGGAGAGCGTCTACTCGGGCACGTTCAGCGGCGCCCTCAATCCCGCCCTGCAGGACCCGAAGGGCAGGCCGCGCCGCGACGTCGCCACCATCGTGCACATCCTCAACGACCTGCTCTGCTCGGTGCCCGAGCTGCGCAGGGCGGCGCGCCGGGGCGACGAGCCGCCCGCTCGCGCCGTAGACCCGCCCCTGGTGCCTCTGGCGCCGGCGGGCAGCGAGGACCAGAACGTGCGCACGCGCGGCAAGCTCGAGCACCTGAGGCTGGTGATGGGCGAGCGGCGGGAGCGCAGAAGGCAGCGCAAGCAGAAGCCGTACTCGATGCCGCAGGGCGATAGTGACACGGTGACAGCGTGATTCGGGCGGGCGGGGGCCGAAGTGGACGAATGTCTGTGAGTTTTTTCGTTCGTCTCGTTCGTGCTGGTCCGCGGAATATCGAAGGGTTTGTTACCTGATACTGAGAATACTGGTTTTTAACTTTGTTTGACAAATACCGAGGGGGTAATCACGTGGGAAGTACGGGCTTGAGCCATTTTTGAGAAAATATATGGGAGTCCGATGAAGTCTGAGTAGTATAATTCATAGCGTATTCGACTGGATTGCACTGACACGGTATAGATGCGTATTTAGCACTGCACTGACTTCAGACAGAATTCGTTTTGTTCGAACCAATCTAGAGCAGATGCATGTGGATGATTCGAACTATTCTGGCACTGTATGGATGAAGTTCAATATTGACATTATGAATATTCGACTGGTATGTTTAGGACAACGTGCTGTTGGATTCTAAGGCTGGTGCAAGCTAGATCTAATCAAATATCTCAATTCAAAGTTGACAAATTATTTATTAAATTTCGAAGTATGGCAAAATAAGTATAGAAATATTTTTGTGAATAATCAGAGGTTTCGATGGTGTATAGTATTCAGCTCTACCCTTGAGTAGTGCCTGTTCAGCCGAATAGAAATAATATTGGAACTGTCTGAGTGCATACCAGCCGAACACACACGCACGAAAAAAGTTGGAATTGAATGCGCAATAGTGCAGCCAGTCGAATACGCTATTAGTATATGAGTTTTTTGCAGTGAAAAGTTCGAAGAAGTATGAGGAACTGAGTTTCGAGATCAGCAAAATATTTTAAAATCAAGGCGTTATTTTATCGATTATTTTCTTCGTATGATTTTAAACCAATCAGAATATTCAATTGAGTATCAGCTACTTTGTATAATTCAGAATATACTCAGATATACATAGAGTAGTTCCACTAATCAGAAATTTAGAAATATTCCCATTTCCATAGTAACCAACTCATATTGTTACATACAAACAAAGCGCGTCGTCAAATTTTGACGTTCATTGAGAACTACCTATTCAGAAAATAATAGCATGGAATACACTTCTAACTTCAAAATCCTCAAGGTTATACATCTCAAATGTCCTACACAATAACAAATTGTCGCGGTCGGATTATTTCAACTTCCGAACTGATACTCTTTGTAATTATGCAATCAATATATAACTCGAATATTATTAAGTACCTATAGTATCACTACTGAATATATGTGAATTAACCAAAAAATTAGTAATTTAAAAACATATAGACTGGCTGAATTCGGGATAAACAATTCTATAGGAGCGCATCTGGTGACAAAAAAGTCTGTTTGCGGGGAATTGACTCAAATGCTTGTAAGGCCTTGGAAAGTTCTAGGAAGTTTGGAGAGTTTCTAGAAAGTTTGGGGAGTTCTAGGGATTCCGAGGAAGGTTTGAGGAATGTTCGGGATAGTTGTAGATTGTTCGGGAAGTTTTCCACATACATAGGAAGTTTGGTGTACACGTTTTTCGCCGTGATTACCCCATAGACGAAAACTGTGCTTGTAGATGTTCATTTTCGGAAATATGTTGAGTAACAGAGCTTCAAGACGAAGTAGGATTTCCATTCTAACAATAAATACAATTGACAATTTTATGATTAAATAAGACATTCAATGAAAATCCGGAAATCCGTGTTGTCAAAATTGAATGATCATTATAGTTTATGTTATAAATGTCAAGAAACCAGCGCTGAAAAACCGAGATTGGTTGGTCACATGTGTGTCAATTCGGCTATTGTATTGGTGGAGCAAGTTTCCCTGTAATACAGGGGAAACCATGAAAATAAGCGATTCTGATTGTTTCTCGAAAACAATAGTGGAAAAACCTACTTTATTTCGAAGCACTCTTCCTCAAATAACGAAATTAGTTCAGAAATTCACATCTGCATAAAGTTTTTTCCAGTTTTTGTTCAATGAAGTATAAATCAATATTTTCTTTATAAGATGATCAAGTGTTTGATATTTCTTGCTCCAGCCAATTTTGATTGTTATTCTTCCCCAGGGACCTCTACCTTGTTATGAAGATGAGGTTCCTTCCATTTATATGGAGTTTTTTCGGTTGTCTGGATGACATGTTATAACCTCAAATTCACCTGTGTTAGAATTGATGCATTCTGTGAATGAGGAATTGTTTATGTGTCTAATTGAAGACTTGATTGTGAATGAGACAATGGTTCAGGTTTACTATTTTCAAAAATACAGAGTGTCCGTTTTTCGAGCTCCACCATGGGGATCTTAGTTATTATAAGTGATATGAGGTCGGTTAAAATAAAAGTGGAAACCAAAACACCTAGACGTTTCTGACTGAGACATTCTCAAGGCACTTTTTAACAAGGAATCTGAATCTGTCATTGTATTTTCCATAACGTTCTTGATGCAAAAGTTACAACACACAACTTTGTTTTTTGTTATAGGTGCCATATTGGATTTTTGCATTTTTTAAAAGTATTTTTTCTGATTACAATGATATCACACGATATGACCGAATATTTCCTGTTGATCGAAATTGTGAAAAAAACATTTTTGGCGAAGAGTGCTTTGGAAAGAACGCCAACAGATTTGTTTAACAAGCTGAATTTCGATATTTGAATTTGGATCTGGAACGTTCACATTCTCGGTAAGCTCATCTACTTAATAACTATATGGTTTTGAATTAGGAACGACGTAATGAGATGGAAGTTTATTCGTCGCAATACAAAACAAAGTTAGAAAAGATGCTCGAATATTTTTTTTTACTTGTTTCTTTAACGTCGGCCTTTTTCTGCTACTGAGGCTAATCACCGGCGCCGGTGAGCACACTATACCCCCAACCGGAAATTTTGCCGAATCCTCTGGTGTTCCAACCAGAGGTAGGTATCTTTAACGAGTCCAACATCCATGGCCTCGGGACCGCCGGCTTAACGTCCCCTCCGAAGGACGGCATATCCGTACCATATCTTGTGCTCATTGATATGGTAGCTGTAGCTATGATATGCTATTCCGCGACAGATGTACGGGCTTACGCGGCGTTTCCTCGAATGGTCACTCATCCAAGTACTAACCGCGCTCGACACTGCTTAACTTCAGATATCGAACGTATTAAAGTCGTTTATTTCCATTATCCTAATCATTTACAACACAAATTTACTATCACATTGTATATATTTTGTTCTGGAGCATCATATAGTGCCCCTAGATGTCCCTCCGCGTGACGCAGAGGTGGCTGGTGTTGGCCAAGGGATGTGAAAGGATTTGTGGAGTGTTCGTCGCAGAGACCGATCTCCTAGGGCTAGGCCCTTTATAAAGGTAATCTCACTGTGGGTACCCAGTGGGGCGGATGAGTTGCTCATACGTGATCAGTGTAGGAAATGTTTCCGGTTTTTGGAGGAAAAATAAAATGAAAAAACAAAAAACCTCCTTCTAGTTAGGCTCGGACAGCTGGACCTCCACGTTTCCGTGTTTGTACATCCGTCCGAGTTCAGTGCCGTGTTTGTACATCCGTCCGAGTTCAGTGCCTTGTTTGCTCGTGAGCAGTGGCACGATTTTCGAACGGCTAGAGCCTTACCTGAATACTTCACCTTCACTTCTCAACACAATTCTACTCGTTTCCTCAGATTCTGAATTGCTCGCGAGATGTCCCGTCTTTTTATCTTGGTACTAAAAGTGTTGATTATGGTGCTTCTCAGCTCATCAATATCGATCCGTACAGTTTTGATAATCAAATCGTTCATAGTTCCCAAAAAATAATAATCCAGCAAAGAGAGATCAGGTGACCACGCTGGCCAACGTATGTCTCCGTTGTTGGAAATTGACTTGTCAGGCAACATATCTGACAGACACTCGGCAACCCTTCTTGCGTTATGTGGATAAGCTTGAGAATCCAACAGTTCTGTTCGCATATTCAATTGAACTGTCAAAATTCAGTTTGTCGAACAAAATTGTTGGCGTTCCTTCCAAAGCACTTTTCGCAAAAATGTTTTTTTCCCAATTTTGATCAACATGAAAGGATCATATCGTGTGATACATCATTATAATCAGAAAAAAAAGGCTATTCAAAATTTCAAAAATCCAATATGGCGCCCAAAATGAAAAACAAAGTTTAGTGTTGTAACTTTGGCATCGTGGAAAATACGATGCCAGATTCAAATTCCTAATGTGCCATTAGAATGTCCTAGTCAAAAACGTCTAGGTTTTTTGGTTTTCGCATGAAATAAAATCGAAAATTACAAATTTCCATTTCCTTCAAATAAATCAAATTGCAGATAAATGTTCAGCTTGAAAATGCACAAGTTTTCCCTAATTCAACCGACCTCGTATCTCTTATAATAACTGAGATCCTGATGTTGGAGCTCGAAAAACGGGCACCCTGTATATGTACATACAATATAATACAAATTTTATCGACGAGTCGCCCGCGCGCTCCGAGTGGGGAGCGAAGTGTACAGGGTGATCAGTTCAATTGTTTTTTAAACAAAGCAAGATTTCTCCCGTTTATTCTGACCGATTTTAGCAAACTTAGGCTCATATGAAACAGCATAATTTGCACTACAAAACGCTCATTTGGTTTTCGAATTTTTGACGCTTGAAATATTATTTCAATATACGTGTAGTAAGGACAAATCAGATGATTTGCCCCAAAATGTCACTGCGTTTAAAGAATTTTCCTATCAGAGAGCCTAAAAGAAAAAATTCACTAGCTTGATATGTGTTATAACCTCAAATTCACCCGTGTTAGAATTGATGCATTCTGTGAATGAGGAATTGATTCAGGTGTACTAGTCTCAAAAATATAGATGAATGGAATTTTTACAATGATTCCCCTCCAAATTTTATCATTTGTTTGAATTTCTTCATTAAAACAGTATGGTATGCTGTCTACTCTATTTTTGACGTTGGAAACTGATACTCGTGAGTTATGTTGGAATTCTTGTTGAAAAGACTGCCTGAGAATCTCATAATATCTACTTCTTATAACTGGCAGTATAATTGACAACATACACTTTCAAATCTTGCAGTTTGGGAATGATCATTGAAACTAAAGTGTAGGTCGCCCTGTACACTTCAGTTCAAGATGTTCAGTTTCTAAAAATAATAAAAAATGAAATATCCTATCATTTTGAAGCTTCATTCGTCTATGAATGTTAGGTAATATTCATTGACGAAATTGAAACTTATTGTTTCATATGCATTGGTATGTGGATATAACGTATTTTTCAACCAGCTCAAATTCTAAGGAAGAAAAACACTGAAATGAAATGTAGTTATAAGAAAATAATTGAATTCTATATATCATGCGTTGTACTAAAAATGTTGGGTCAGTTTTGCTATGACTACATATAGAATCAATACAACTAGAAACGGCGCAAAGTGTGACTCCGCCATTTTTCATTCCATTCCAAAATATTTCAAAAAAGAATTGATGGATATAGAAAAGCATTTAAAAATGAATATTGGTCAATCACTAATGTCCAGTTATTATTATTATGTTGAAGGTGGATAGTGCTCATTCAATAATTTTGTTTTATTTTTCAATTTTCCAGAATCTGAACAAAATGGCTATAAAAGTTTCGGTTTGCTGATAAATTTAGATTCTCACATGACCTTTCCAATAAAGCCTTTCATCAAAGGTGGTGATTTTTATATGGTAATATTTCACCATAATATGACTGATTTGCGAGACATGCATTGGATTAGATTATGTTACAATTTTACTCCTTTACATGGATATTGTTATATTATGCAACCATTGATGAAAATTGGTGATTTGAGGTTATAATAGTTTAGCAATCGAAAATAATGAGTTGACTGTAACCAGCTGTTTATGCATTTGTAACTCCACTTCTTTTCTATTTCTAGGACTATATGATATCAAATTAGGATTTATATTATATTGAGTTCTTCCCTTAATTTTTAGATATCCTATTGCAATCGAAAAATAGGATTAAGATTTTCATTTTTATTATTGATGTGATCATTATTTGTTGTGATCTTGCTATGAAATATTTGTTTTTGTTCTCCCTATTTCGTATATACAATTAACTGGTTATGTTTAATAAAGTATTTTCAAAAGTAACTTTTTTTTTTCATGTAGTAATATATTTTTCCCATCCGCTAATCTGTCATCTAAAGCATACATAATATAGAGGGTGTGTCCTAAATTACATGCGGGAAAAAACGCATATTTCACTAAAGGTAATAATGATACCTAGTTATAATAATCAGCATATTCTCAAACAAATCCATTTATAAATCAAAGAATAAGGAATGTATCATTGTTTTATCTCATCCATTCTGGTGCTCCTGAAGGAAGCAGAAAGTTGAATTGATATTGCGTTGACCAAAAATTATTGGGGATCTGATGGGTGAGAGAAGCCTATCTTTATCTTTGATATGACTATTTTCGGGTGAGTCAAACATATTGTTATCAATTAAATTCCATTTGAACCTTGAAGAAGAACGTTAATCATACGAAGTATCATACCAGATATATTTTCGAACCGGAATGTGAAAAAGAAGTTGATCGTCTTGCAGAAAATTTTAAAGTAATTTCACAGTTTGCTGCATCTCTTTTATCCAAATACATGGTCAATGCATTAAAAAGTGCAATTCAAAATTCAAATCGCTGAAATTTCGAAATAAAAATGATTGGAATCAAATGTGGAATGTGGCTCTCATTGTTTTCCCCATTCCAATTCCACTGACAGCTTTGACATCAATATCAATGCTTTGATGTACTTTTTCTGCTATCGGAAACATTTTCGCGGAGGAATATTACTTTCAGAGGCATCGGAAAGAAACAACATGATAATACATAAATAAAATTTATTAAATGAAATTCATCGTGAATTTGACAAATTTCGCGCATGCGCAAATAGGTATTTGCACCCGCAGACTGTCATTTGTTTCCTCAAAACTGGCTTCACTTTTTACCATGGAAACATAGAATATAGAATGTTATCCGTATACAGAGTGGGCCTTTGAAAACGAAACAAAGGCTCTGTAGGTCGCCAAAACCGGATTATCAAAAAAAACTGAAACAGGTCAACTACATTTTCGAGGGGGACATCTTTCTAAAATATTTTCAGCCCTGCGGCGTTGCCGCTTCTAAAGAAAAGAAGCAACAACTTTGTTATTTCAAATGGAACACCTTGTATTTTATTGCATTTTTAGATTCTCCCCCAAGAGGATTTTTTTGTGTCGAAACTATTCATTATTGGTCAAAACGGCTTTCATGTCCCGATCTCAACTTGTGATTTACTATCTACTGACATTTATTTGAAACAAATACAGGGTGGTTCAAGATTCAGAATTCTGATCACCCTGTATCTGTTCCAGTTAAATGTCAGTAGATAGTAAATCACAAGTTGAGATAGGGACATGAGAGCCGTTTCGACCAATAATGAATAGTTTCGACACAAAAAAATGTCAAAGTTGAAAAATCTCGATTTTGAACACTTTATATCCCTGAAACCATTACAGCTAGACCCCAAGTGTGATGCATTGATGAAATCAGCTCTTCGGGGAGAATCTAAAAATGCAATGAAATACAAGGTGTTCCATTTGAAATAACAAAGTTGTTGCTTCTTTTCGTTAGCAGCGGCAACGCCGCAGGGCTGAAAATATTGTAGGACGATGTCCCCCTCGAAAACGTAGTTGACGTGTTTCAGATTCTTTTCATAATCCGGTCAGAGCCTCTGTTTCGTTTTCAAAGGCCCACTCTGTATATTTAGTAGGTATATGCACAACGTGCGTCACAACGAGCGAGACGTTGATTCTACATTTTCCCGCAAATGCCATTGTAGGTACGCGGAACATATGTAACAGTGGGATTAAACAATTCTGAATTCGAAAAATCTGCGACAATTTCAAAACTGACAAAAGTCATTATTCAAGGTTGGTAGAACTGATTATAATCATCAGTTCTACCAACCTTGGTCATTATTGTGCAATGTCGCCATCTATTAGAAGATCAACGGAACCATTGCTCTCGCTGCTCTTGAGAGGTCGAGTAAAATTTCTGAAACAAAACGCATCAGTAATTACACCATCTTCCATCATTTCATTAACATTATTCTAACAAGAATACGACAGGAATACATAGCTGAAGTGATATGTGATAATAATTAAGATTTAAGAATAAGAAGAAGAATATTTGAGGTTATAACTTTGTTTTGACTTTCTTTTAACAAGTTTTCTGAAGTTTGGAGTTTTAAAACTTTGTAAAAATCTTCCTCCTTTACCTTTTTCATCATTGATCTTTCGAATATCGATAGTAGGTATGTCATCTCAATAAAATGACAGAATTAAAAATCTATTGTCTAGAAGACCAGGCAGAAAGTAATATCATAACCACTTTGGGGGAAGGTGAATATACCATTGGCAGAGGTGATATACTGAAATGTAATGATAAGAGGGTATCCAGAAATCATGCTGAAATAATTGTCAATAAAACGGAAGTGATACTCAAATCCACACATATAAACCCCTCTTTTTATAAGGCAGCAAATGGGAAAAGCATCCAGCTATTGAAAAAGGATGATAGTGTCCCACTTAATGATGGAGATCAGTTTGCTTTACTGGCAGACAAGTTTTGGTTCAAAGTTAAAAGGGGACTTGTTGACAGCAGTTCTACATATTCATTAACTTCAAATCAATCATTAAAAAGAAGTGTCAATGCTGAGAAGAAAGATGAATCTTGTAAACGTTTTAAAAACACTTCATATGATGAATCCACTATTAAAACTTCTAAAATTGAAGGTCTTGACTCTTTTTTAAACACTATTGTGCCTGGAAATGTAAATGGAACTGAAATTGATACAGATTCTCTATTGAACAAATTAGCTAACATTACCAAAGAAGATTATGGTCATATTAATGTAAGTAAGGATATTGACTCCAGTGATATCAATGAAAGCATTGATTTGGCAGTTTCAGTCTCAGAAAACAGTATGATTCCAAAAAAAAATGTATCTGCAGAGGATGAGTTCATTTTGTCTATCAATAATTTGCATAAGTCAACTGAGAATGATACAATTAATGAAGATAATTTACCTAGCAAACAAGATCCAAGTGTGAGTTCACCCACATCATATACTGAACAAAATAAACCTAGTGATGAAACAACTCTAAAGAATTCCAAAGAGGAAATTGTAGTCAATGTCAGAAATGATATTTCTGATGATTCAGATGGAAGTATGGATTTAGCAGCCCCAACTGAACCAGAAAAAGCCTTTTGGGGAGCTGCTAAGCCTGGTGTCAGATCATCCAAAGAAGAAGAAGCTGTAGGATCTGAAGATGATGAAATTTCTACCACTATGAACATTCCATCTAGTAGCAATGTTGCATCTAGTAGCAATGATGCAAAGCCTAAAGCAAGAAGAGATAGGTGTTGGTATGCAGAGACCTGTTATAGAAAAAATCCAAGTCACAGAGCTGAGTATAGCCATCCTGATGATGATGACTTTGATAGTGATCCCACTGATGATAGACCACAATGCCAGTATGGTTCAGCATGTTACAGAAAAAATGCAGATCATAGAAAAGAATACAAACACTCTCGTCAACCAGTAGCAAAACAACAAACAAAAAAAATTAAAAATGGCAATCAGTCAGATGAGGATGGTGTAAGCAGTGATAGTGAACCAGATAGTACAAATGATAATGAGAAGCCTAAAAAACGAAAGGCGGCAAAAAAGGTCAAGAAATACCAAGAAACCCCTGAGGATGATTATGATATGGAGGATCCTTTTATAAATGATGGGAGCAGTGATGATTTCCAACCATCAAATGATGGATCTGATGATGACACTGATTGGGAGGATTCTCAGAAAGTTGTTGAGGAAAGTGAAGAAACAAGAAGACTGTTAAAAGAAGCAAAGAAGTTCACAAAAGTAAAAAAGAACTAACAAGTATAGAACCACAGATTAACATAGAACCATTCACACATCACTTTTTGGTGACTCAAAGAATCTATTCTACATGACTTGCCACATAATATGACATCACCAATAACACCATATACTATAAAAAAAAATTGCAGAGCATTTACATTAGTTGGTATGTACAGTGTGTCCAGTTTTCCATGATTTTGCCAGATATCTCAGTTATCTTTGGAGATAGAGTGTTGGGAGTTTCACATTACTGCCTTAATTTTTTGTAAAATGAATAATACTGCAAACAGATTTTTTTCAGCCCTTCTAGTTCTTGAGATACAGGGTGAAGTTGAAAATTCTCACTGTCACATTTTTGTTTTCATATACAAAAATATATAATAGTTGTATTTTTTTTATTCATATGGGTCAATTTTCTGAAAATAAGCTATTACAGAAATAAAATGAGTAAGCCACTGAATACATAGAAAGTTATATGAGGCCTGGCCTGGTTCTTCAACTACACATATCTCAAAAACATGAAGGACTATGAAAATTATGTTTGCAGCATTATTTGTTTCTACTAATGTTAAAATTTGCATTACTCAATCTTCAAAGATAACTGAGAAATCATGCAAAAGATGGCAAAAGCATTGAAAACTTGACACACTGTACTGGGTGAGCAAAACTCAATTTCTCACCTCTACTACAAGGAGAGAAGACAATAGAAAAAATCAGAAAAGAAGTTCTCAATTGGGATCAAGGCCCATTTTAAGACATATTTTACATTTTTTTATATTTGGATATTTAATAAGTAGTGAAGTCATCAATTTTTTTTTCTAGAAACATACCCATATTTTCATATTTGAAGTTATTTTTTTCAGCAAATTCCTGGTACATGAAATTTGTCAATCCTCTCTGTTGAAAAATTATAGTGATTAATTATCAAGATAATTATAAAAAAAACATATTTTTTTTGTTTTTCATGCATGTTTCTATTCTTTTTTTTTTAATTTCAATCTTCTATGCTCATTGAGATTTTTTCTCAAATTCAGAATTTGGTTGGAGCCCTTTAAAATTCTTTTCAATCTTATTTTTTTTAATAAACATGTTTTTGCAAATTTGCTAAGTGTTTCCAAAGGTTAGTTCAAATTGTGAATCCTAACTATTTTAAATGTTTGATACTTTTTCTGAAAATTTACTCATAACTTTGTAAAGATTTTGCTGTACAAAATTTGTTCATAAATAATCACTATGATAAAATGCCAGAATATAGTTGTTTCCAGAAAAAATACTTCAATGATGTCATTACTTCAGATTCTGAATGTGAAACAATATGCAAATTTTGCTAAAATGATATTACTCAATGGCCTTCAAAAACACTTCATCAGATTTTTTCTTCTGTTTTTCCTTGCCTCATAATGAAGGCTAAGACTTTTTGTTCTGTTTTGCTCAGCCCTCTATTATTACCTTGGAATACATCACTCATTGAATGAATTGATCATTTTTGAAATTATTTTTTTGTTTGTTGATAGTAAAATGATGGCTTTTACTCTAAAAATCTTTTATGTACAAATTATAATATACTTTAGGGCCATTATATTTGTTTTGTAAATTTCTCATATTGAAATCTGTCATTTTTTAATATATCTTTACATGAAATACCTATGTGTACTATTCAATTTAATTTCCAATAAACTGAATGAACCTAGAGTCACTGGATGGTATTAGTAAGATTAATCAATCTTGATAATCTCTAAGGTACCCATATAAAGTATGTGGATCATACTTTTTTGATCTCCATTCAACATTACTGCAATATATGTTTTATAGCTATTTGTACCCCAGTGGCTTTCAAGTATAGCACCGATAGAAATATTGAAAATAGTATATTACACACGGAGGTGGGAAGTGATTCATTCCTGTCGTGAGATTAGTTAGTTAACCGGGACGCAAAGCGGTTTGTATACCTACTATTTTATTTGCAACCATCATATTTCGATCAAAATTAATATATCTGTTTCGTTCTGAACATATCTGAAATATTACATAATTGAGGGCGGGAAGTAGAGGTGTGTGATATGACACTTCCCAAACCTTCAACGACGTTAGTATTGACAACATTACACATATGGTTGTAAATAAAATATCTTGTGTACAGCTAGTCAGCCAATCTAGTTCAGTAAACGAACGAAAAATAAAGGAAAAAAATCGTGTAGTCGCAAATTTTTGCAGAGTGGCAGGGGGAAGTGCCATGCCATGAACAACATACTAAAAGTCCTGACCCGTAGGGGATGAGCGTGATGGTGGGGGAGCTTTCTAAGGTCATTTTCTCAAGTTATTCTTGAATAATTCGAAAATCGCGATCTCTAGCGGAAAAATATAGGTATACAAAATTGAAGTAAATAAAATTTTCGATAAAAAAGTTTCTATTCACTTGTTGTCCACAATGGATAGTTTCTGAGATACAGGGGATGAAAAAATCGAGAAGTATCAAAAATAGAGTTTAATGGTATGGAATTGGTGTTTAACTTGAATATTAACAGAAAAAATACATTACTCATTGAGAACAGACATAATTGAATGAATACGTTCTAATAATATCAACAATTAATCATCATCTTCATCGTCATTTTCCACATCCAGTAACGGTGCACCGTTCGTACACGTACCATGGCACATGCCGCCACCATAGAGCATGGCATTCCAGCTTTCCCACAACCACATCGTCCCCCACATCCAGTAAAACATCGGCAGAATATGCTGTTCAGTATCGCTTCAGGTGCTATTGGATCTCTGGTTGTCACTGGAATGAGCGATCCATCCTCTCCTCTGTTCCACCCCCACTCAGTCGGGGGTAGAGGATTGTTGAGCCATTGCTGTACCTGTTGAAATATAACCAATAAATATTATTGTAGAGGCATGATACGGATTGGATTGAATTATTATACCTGTAAATAAACTCTGAATGAGTGTTGTTGCGCTGCTCCTATGGTTGGTGGCAGTGAGGCGAGATTTGGTTTTGGCTTTGTTGATGCATTCAAAAATGCAGCATACCGCAGTCTATTCAGATCCTGTTGATCTGCACTCACTTGGTACATTTCTGAAAATATTTTCTCGCCAGCCTGTGTAACTTTGTCTGCTTGTGTCGAGGGGTTGGTGAAAATGTCGGATATTGTCTTCATTTTCCTAGGAAACTTGCTGAAGAGCTTAACAATTCCACCTTTGCACTTATTATAGATGGCTGAGGTGGTGTCACACCCACTGAAAGCATGTAGATGGAGAATATTCTCAGCAAAAGGAAGTTTTTGGAGTTTGTTTGTTGAAAACAATTTGGATTCCACTTTGCCCCTGCCGGGTTTCATGAAGAATACGTTACTTCCTGGTCGTGCAAAAGCAATCAATAAAACAATCAAGTCGACATCTTCTCCTATTATTGTGACAGTGGGATTTAGGGCAGCTTTTTATAACCCACATCTCACTATTGTGCCATCAGCATCCCCTACTGTAGCAACTACTGTTTCGATTTCCCTTGCTATCATTTTTTCACTGAGGAGTTGTATATGAGCCTAGTTTTGTTCTTATCATTAGCTAGAAAATGTTCCTGCTGAACAGTGACATACATGCTATCATTAAAATGTATGTCGACTGAAGTTTTCGTGAGACCCCTTCTCTTTTGCTCGGCTTGTTGGGGTCACCATAACCATCGAAAACGACAGTACAGTTTTCACCGTAATGTTTGATAACATATGATATGTATTGATTTATACTTTTCGATTTTTGTTTCCCCTGTATCTCAGAAACTATCCATTGTAGACAACAAGTGAATAGGAACTTTTTTATAGAAAATTTTAAGTAGTCCAATTTAGTATACCTATATTTTTTCGCTAGAGGTCACGATTTTCGAATTTTTCAAGAATTGATTGAGAAAATGACCTTCAAACACTCCCCCACCATCGCGCTCATCCCCTACGGGTCAGGACTTTTAGTATGTTGTTATCACAGAGAAAAACGGTCCAGGTACACAAGTACACTTGAGTAAAATTCAATACCCACAAATATATTAATGAACTTTTGTACCATTACAATAGGTGAAATTTTTTTTCTGATATATACTTCCAGTGGCAGGTTAACTGTGCTCCTGGAACAGGCCATCTTTCTTGTGCTCGATTAATTTTTATCGATTTGTTTAATACTCAGTATACAACAATCCACCTAACATTAATATAATTGTCCCTCAATCCTTGTTTTCTATGAGTGAAAGGAATAATTCTGCCATTATTACCAGTTTAATAACAACAGGTAACAGTTCACTTGATTTCTCTGTTTCGTCATCATTCGGCTAGTTTCGAATACCCACGATTACGCCACGAGCTGACTGCGCAACTCTTCTGCACTTCATTCCATCAATGAACTCAGTCTGTATCTGTACTAAGAATATGAACCTTTGGTGTTTGCGAAAACTTATGCGTGCCTTTTTCTATTCTGGAACATTTGTGTTGTGCATGTAAGTTAAGTGATTGTGACTATTCCAAAAACATTGATCCCAGTGAAATTATCACTATGGAGCGACTAGCCCCAGGTCGAGAGTTGAAAAATAGAAGCAGCATAAGCAGTTCATCGACGACACTTTGAAACAGCAGGGTTTGGCGAAGTTTACGCAAAACTCTTCTTTCTTTCTTGGTGAGTAATATACCATTCCTTTTTCTCCGTGCAACTATAAATCTTTTTGAGCACACACGTTTTTTAGTGATATGTTTTTCTCCTTCAGAAAATGATTCTAAGCCCTCTAGTTCCTTATGTTGGTTGATCATTTGCAATTGATTGTTACATCTGATACGAGATCTGATATTATATGTCCGTTTTATTCGTGGTTCGTGCCATTTATTTTTCACTTGAAGAGGTTATATTTTGAAAATATCTCCTATTTTGATTGTGATCTCTCAATATTTTTATCGAGTGTGCTCTATGGTGTCGAAATCTCAGTAGGAAGTCACTTGATGAGTAGTTCAAATTTTGTTGAAGATTAAAGAAAT